GTACCATTGTTACCCCCTAATTATTGTGTTTTAAACTTTTCTTTTTTTTCTCTGTAAAATAAAATGAAAAAAAAAAAAAAAGGGCTAGGGAGTAATTCAGCTTTAAGGGCCTAATTTCAAGGGGACTTAGATAAGTCAGAGAACAGTGCCTCGTGTTAGTAACAGTCAGCATGCTTAGTGTGGGATGCTTAGTGTGTGATGTTTAAGGTGCACATTGATGCTCCAAACTAATAAGCTGACCTAAAATTAGGCTTAGACTCAAAGTGTGGCCCAATCACCATAAGAAGCTACTTAAAACTTGGAATCCATATACGAGACAGCAATAGTTTGCGTACTCATCCAATACCTAAAGGACAATGAGTCCCGAAGTCTTGCACTGCCCTTTACTTCCTAATAAAGCGTAAACCAGAAGAACGAGCATGCATGACACAGCACGAGGGTGAGGGCAGACAGCCACAGCATTTGCATTTCATGAAGTGAAGCACAGCAAAGTGACATAGTTCATTCATGTGCCTGCCACTGACTTGGGGAAGGCATGGTTGGAACCCCGGCCCAGAACTCCAGCTCAGCCTTCTTGACTAAACCTTCATCTAACCGGACTCAGCCTCAGTCCTTGGAAAGCAGGGGATACGCACGGAAGAGCAACCAGCCACAGGGACACCTCAGGTGGCAGCCACCCCTGACAGAGGTGGCCTCCGGACATCTAGGACATTGTCTAGGACTGCAGGACCTGATGCTGGGCAGCTGCTCTGGGGTGTGCATGGCTGAAGGCAGGCAGGGGTCAGGGTGGCAGAAGATTGTGTTATCTGACAGGGCAGAAACAACGCAGGGCTTTCTGTGCTAAAACACAGTTCTGGGGCAGAGGAACAAAAGGACAGATGCTGGAGAACTGGCCAGAATACCACTGGGCAGACCCAGGCTGAGAGTCAGCATAGTGGACAGAAGAAGGCCTTTCAGGACAGCAGCAGCTGAGCAGACATTCCAGGTGGACTTGTGGGGAAGAGGGGAGAGCGGTAAAGTGGTTGAGTCTGGAGCCTCTAGCTGTGGTGACAGGATGGCTCTGGGCCAGGAACACTGGTCGGAGAGGCAGACCAGGCTCTGAACTCAGCCTGGGCCCTGAGTCTGCGCAGGGCATCTAGGGGGAGGTCTGGACTGGATCTGCATACTCAGTGCCACCCAGGGAGCAGACCACACTGAGGAGGCAGGAGAGGAGCCCTGGGCACAGAAACTTGGAAGGTCCCGGGAGAGCTGGTGCCGGTGCCCATCCAATTTGGGAATTGGGTCACTGAACACAACGATGAGGGGGAAGCTAGACTGAGAGCTTCGGAGTGTGGAAGCAGAAAACAAACTGACAGCAGAGGGCCAGCAAGGCTAGGCTCAGAAACAGGAGATAAGGGGAACCCGTGTCTATGTTTATAAGTCAATGGAGGAGTGGGGCACAGGGCGGCCAGGACAATGGAGAGGGCAAGGCTTGAGGGGAAAAATAGATGAAGCCTAGACCCCCACCCAGAAGACCCTTCCCTCAGTACAGACCAGGGCAGATGACCTATCAGAGTGTAGACATGACAGTGGCTGTGGAATTTTATATATATATATATGATTCCCTCCCACACTGCCACCCCACCACTAGAGTCACCAGATCAAAACAGCAGGTCTCAGAGTGAGCCCTGCCAGCGCACTGCCACTTTAGGACTGTTAGAAACACACATCCTGGGGGCGGGGGATTTAGCTCAGTGGCATAAGCGCCTTCCTTGCAGGTGTGCAGTCGTGTTTGATCCCTGGTACCGATAAAAAAAAAAAAAAAAAAAAAAAAAAAACCCAAAAAACACACATCCTCAGGAAGGCACAATCCAAGCGTCACCAGCCTGAAACTGGTGCCCCAAGAACCCCTCATAACCCTGCTGCTCACTGGGTCTGAGACACAGCCGAGGACAGCTCTGTGCAGAGAAGTGTGCAGCGCTGCTGCCCGAGTCCCCACACCTCAGCACTCAGCGGCTCCTCCCGGGGATGCAGGCGAGCATCCGCAGAGGCAGAATGGAAAAGACTGAGTGAGGTCACAGTTTTGTTTTGTTTAAGTTTTGAAACAGGGTCTTACTAAATTGCCAGGTCTATGCTTAAACTTGCAATCCTTCTGCCTCAGCCTCCCAGATTACAGATAGGCATCAGCACATCTGACTTACTGCCCGGATTTTAGCCCAAAGCAGGCCGGCTGACCCCTAATCACCACTCACCCCACTATGACTGTTAGTCCTGATGCCTACTTTATTGCATGAAGAAATATCTAGCCTGGTAAGAACTGAGCCACACAGCAGGAAATGAATGGCAGGCAACTGAGTGAAGGCTTGTCTGTGTTTACAGCTCATCATTCTCAACGCCCCCAGCCCTGCTCTTGTCAGATCAGCGGAGGTGGTGTTGGTGACACTAGATTCTAAGAGAATGAAGCCTGTATACGGGCAGGGCTTGGTTGTGGGCTCCTTATGAGACTCCCATGCCTGATAATCTAAAGTGGAGCTGAGGCAATGATGCCAGTGCTGGGGAGCAGCTGAGACTGCAGATTACTATCAGCAGGGACCATAGCAAATCAGCTGCTTGCAGGCTCACATCAAAACCTTATCAGTGAGTGGCAAGTGACAGGCTCTAATTCAGAACCCAACACTTATTTTAGTCTGCATGTGGCCTCCCTGTTATGTTCTTTACCACTGTCCTCCTTGCCTCTCTTGCACTTCTCACTTGTCCAGACATTTTTTATAATCCCATAAACTATTACTTGCCAAAATATGCAGAACACAAATGTCAATTCTTTGAAATGGGGAAGGGCGGGGGAGATCCAGTGATGCTTAGCAGAAGACACTAAGACTGCCAACAAAAAGCTGCAAAAAGGAAAAAAAAGAGAATCAAGAGTCCCGCTTAAATTATGGGCTCATTACAACAGATGATCCATCTTCCCTAAGCCCACCTTGTATAATGTGGGGACCAACGAAGCCATGAAACCTTCAAACCTGATTCACATCATGGAGACTAAGCATCCGATGTTAAAAGATAAATTTTTGAGTCTTGAGAGAGTTGGTCCTGCCAGCTGCCAACGATTTACTGTGAACTTTTAGGAGACAGTGCAGTTCCAAAGGTGGCGTGTTTCTTTCAGGTAGCACCAGGACTAGATGGGCTGATAAAACAACAGAGGAGACTGAGGTACAGTTGTTAGGAGAGGATTAGTGAGTCACTAAACTCAGTTTGTCACTTTGGGGAGGACCATGGCTGTGTTTAAGTGACCAGATAAAGTGACCTTATTGAAACTCGAATTATGGGGGTGATGATAACATTTGGGAATTTTGTTTTTTTTGAGACAGGGTCTCATTATTTAGTCCAAGCTGGCCTCAAACTCACAGCGATCTTCCTGCCTGTCTCCTGAGGCTAGCATTATAGGTGTTCTCAACCACACCTGGCAACACTTGAGTTTTTGACATGTTTCAAACATAAGAGATTTTGAAAGGGACCGAGTCAAGGCCTTTTTTTTTTGGGTACTGGGGATCGAACTCACAACCTAGCGCTTGCCAGGCAGACGCTTATGCCACTGAGCTAAATCCCCAGCCCCAAGGCCTTCTTTCTTCAAGCTGGTGCATTACCACCTAACTCAACTTGCAAAAAAGGCTGAGCATTACTTCTCAACCCTGTTAAGACTCCCAAGTTGGGAAGGAATGGATCCAGGAACAATTTGTGAACAAGCCAGATGAATGGCCTTTGTTTATGCTGGGAGAACCAACTGCTTAAGGTTATAAACGACAGTGGCTTAAAGGATGTTTGAAACAACTTCACATCTCCATGTTTTAGATTGAAGTCAAGGTGGAATATCCTGAGATTACAAGAGTGCTGAAAACCCTGACTCCATTTCCAACATCCTATTTTGTGAAGGTTTTCTGCAGTGACAGCAACCAAAATGAGATTACAGAGTAGAATAGACCTAAGCAATACTGCCAACCCCCAAATGTCAACACTCCATAAATGGGACCTCTTAGTTGCAGGAAAACAAGCTCAGAGCTGTTTTTGCACAGACTATGCAATAATAATAGAAATAAAGTATGCAATAAACAGAATGCTCACAAGTCTTCCCAAAATTATCCTTGTCCCCCAGTGCTTGGAAAAACTGTACTCCATGAAACTGTTCTCTTGTAGGGAATAGGGACTGCCTCGTCCTCCCTGGCACTGTTTCCAGGCCACCATGAACTAAACAGCTGTGCTACACAATGGCCTTCCATTGTATCTCTACCTCAGAGCCAACCATTCATGCACTAAAACTGTGCACTAAATCAAGCTTTTCCTTTAAACCATGGGTGTTCCTTTATATGCACCAGGGCCAGCCACCAGTGTCCTGTCTCAAAAAAAGCCAAACAACAAAAAAAAATATTTCCTCCCTTAATCTGGGGAAGGCACAGGGCTGGCCCTCAGACACCTCTTGCTGGATATCCTATGGTAGGCTGAACTCAATGCTGGGTTTGCCTCTGATCAGTGTTGCCTTCCACAGACCATTCCTGTCACCACGGCTAGAGGCTCCAGAGCCACCATGTCTGGCTATTTTTTGAAACAGTCTTGCTAAATTTCCCAGGCTCGGGGCTGGGGGTTTAGCTCAGCGGCATAAGCGCCTGCCTTGCAAGCCGGCAGTCGTGAGTTCGATCCCTGGTACCGATAAAAAGGAAAATGACAAAAAAAAAATAAATAAATAAAAATAAAAATAAATAAATTTCCCAGGCTGGGCCGAACTTGCAATCCTACTGCCTCAACCTCCCAGAGTGCTAGAATTATAGGCATGCGCTACCATGCCTGGCTTGTTCGTTCTTGAGTAGGACCTGCTCTGTATTTTTTTACTACAGAGGTCTGGAGGTCCCCTCTCTGCTATTGATGGCTTTGTGAACACACAACAAAGATATCCTTTCACTTGACCTCAGGAAACCAACATGATATTGGTTTGAATGCATCTTTTAAAAAGTCAAAGACACAGAAAGGACTCACAAGGACATAGAATTTTATTGCACCAAGATCTTGGAACATCTGGGGCTCCCAAAGTCCCTGGAGAGGAAGTGGAAAAGGTGGGGGCCCCATATACACATACAGGTGCAGCCATACACCAGGACTTGGGGAGAGAACAACCCCTAATGATGGAAGGTTTGCAAGGTGACATGGAGTACCAGGGAGGTGGTCCACTGCACGTGGGTCCTGTACCTCCACTCCCAGTTCTAACCCAAGCAAGTGACTGCTATTGTAAAAGCTTAGGTATTTCTATGTATTTATATATGTACATGTCACCTACAATATGGATGGTTTTCTGGATGCATTTTTCCTCATACCTGTCTGGCGGACACGACAGTTTTTACAGAAGGAAAGGACTTGCCTCTACCCAACAGTGACAGACACTGTAGGAAGTCAGACCGGGATTCACCACTGCCAGAGAGAATGCAGAGATACTCTCCCCAGGGTAAGTCCCTACAATGTTCAGTCTAGGAGAAGACAAGACCAGCTGCAGGAGAGGGGAGAGAGACAAAGGAGATCAAGGCTGTGCTGGCAGGCACCTTACATTTTCAACAACAGAGCGTCACGGAACAATTTGCCCGGGAAGCAGTTAACGTTAGAACCAGTCAACCCCTCTAGTGGAAAGCGAGCCCTGCCTGCAATAATGCCAGCCTTTCTTCCAAGACGGCAGACTAGGAAGCCACGGCACACTCATGCCAGGCCTGTCCTGAGCAGCACTCAAGCCGCCATCCGCTCTCGGCTGGAATGAGAAGTGATCAGGCCACGGTGTCGCTGCTCCCTCCTGCATTTCCCTGAAGTGAAGCACAGAAGTGAAAAACCTAAAAGAACCACTGGCATGGAAACTTCCAACGTCCCTCACCATGCGAAGACACAACTCCTCTCTGTCCCCAAGGATTGAGCAAGGCCCCGAGCAGAGAGCAGAGTGAACAGAAGGGTGGCACTGATGAAGGCAGCAGACAGGGGCCTGAGCGCAGGCCCAGCATGCCCCGGACAGCTCCGGGAGATGCGGGGACACACCTCCCGAGGGAGGACCATCTGATGTACTTCTCTACCTCCTACTGATGGGATGCTGTCTTTTCCTTGGAAATGCCATTTTTACTGAGGTGTCTGTGTTAAATCACAAGTCTGCAGGCCTAACTTGAGCAAGATAAAAAGGGATCTTGAGTCATACAATCATCTAGATTCAAAAGCACTTACAAAATTGAGCAAACAAAGCCAGTATTTGCATACTATTAGGAGAATATATTGCCGCTGGGAAGCCACAGGTCTGGTAAAAAATAAACGCTTTATATTAAGTAATAAAATAACGGAGAATTCATCCCTACATCCCTCCATTAGAGACCCATGGGTTATTGCAGCTGGGAAGGAAGCTATGGCAAAGCCACCCTGGACAGACAGCAGCCTGAGAAGCAGATGCACCGGCACATAATTCAAGAGTTCCCCTACCCAGAAGGCTCCAGTCTCTGACTGCTGGAAGTGCTACCTGCCTTTCCCAGAATGGCAGAGGCGGCAGTGCAGGTGGGCACCAGCTCTTCCCATTTCAAGATGGCTAGTAAGGCATACAGACACAGGTCCCACGGAGGGAACCAGGAGGGCAGGGCATGGGACAGGGCAGTGCTGGGCTCGGGAGGAAGGGGTGGCTTGCCAGGAAGAGCCTCCAACTGCATGCCTGCCATCCTGGGCACATGACGCACTGGAGATGCACTGTCCTGTCCCCACTTTCAGTCCCAGACAGGAGCAGATGGCTTTGCCTGCTCAGACTACTGCCCATGACCACAAGGATGCTGGCCCCTTCCAAACGTTCCGGGTTGTTGTCTGCTCCGCTGGACATCGCCTGGTGAGGTTCCTGTGGAGCTCCTTGTGAATGTCCCCAAAGCCTCCACGCCAGGCTGTCTACAGTGACATGGGAGCCCCCAACATGGCAGGCTCATGGCAGAGCCCCAGAGGTGGCAAGGCAGTTGAGTCTGCATAAGGCCACTCCTCAGATCCAGACAAGGGTTCCCAGGAAGTGACAGCTCGAGGAGGCTGTGGAACAGGCACGCTGGTCCTCCTGGTGAGAAACAAGAACCCTGATGTTTCCTCTGCCACTCTCCAGTGGGCCCACAGGGTCACCTCTTACAAAGAACCGGTACATCCACAACCCACAGACACATGCAATCATACCAGATATAAACCCCCCAAAACTGACCTATTGTGACACCAAGTTCACCGGCGGTAGCTGAGGCTGGTGGCCTTAGCTGGATGAGTCACAGACCAAAAGTTTCGTCTACTCTGAAGCTTCTGGAAGGCATTGAAGTTTCTCTTCTTCTCCTTCTTAAATTTTTTCATTTTCTTTTCCTACATCAAGAGCCACAGGGAGGGCCAGAGATTTAGCTCAGGGGCACAAGCGCCTGCCTCGCAAGCACAAGGTCTTAAGTTTGATCCCTGAAGAGGGCTCCATTGAACTCAGGTGGCCCCTATGACACACGCACTGCCAATGTGCTAGGCACGGGTACATGCTCACGTGCCACACACAAGCGTGTGGGAGGCCTGCCGCCCTGGATGTGCTGACGGACGGGGGCACAGAAGCATCATATGGTCGGGGCCCTGCCTACGCATGGAACATGCGCCAGTGATGGAAGCTGGGCACCCGGCCCCAGCCTCACCCTTCACCACTATACCCCATGCCTGCTCTTCACGCTGCTGAGAGTTTGTGTGAACCACAGCAATCTCCCTGTCAGCCAGTCACACACACACCTACCTTGCCACGATCAAACTCTTCGTCCCACTCGTCAACCACTGTCTGCGTCCGGGCCAGTCTGCTGTCCTCCATGGCATCGCGGCTGACCGCAGACAGTTCCCCATCCCAAGTCAGAACTGGACAACACAAGTATGACATCCGCAGTCTGCAGACACGTACCAGCTAGACCCACTGACTTTTCTTTTGGTTTTGTGAGACAAGATCTCACTATGTAATTCAGGCTGGTCTTGAACTCATGGTGCTCCTCTTGCCTCAGCCTCCCAAGGGCTGGGATTACAGGTGTGTGCCACCACGCCTAACAACTCTTCTACTCTCAATACTCAGAGTGCCCAAATGCCATCTTTTGGTGGTAGTGACAAGCAGAAGAGGAAGAAGGAGGGGAGAGTGTGCAGTATTTGTGTGAAACTCATGACTCTTTTGCTTAAATTACATCACCAATTACACTGCTCACTTCTTTATAAACCCATGCCTTCACCTGAGGAGACCTCACGTTTGTTCCTGCAGTCTGACTCACACAGCTCCAACTCAGAGTGGCCACCACAGATGTCAGAGGGTCATCTGCACCAGCCTGTCTACTGGGGCTCTGATACTCCTGCCGAGAATCACGCCACAGACAGAGCCCACCTCTGTGCCATGGCTAGAGGCGTGGGCTGGGCTTGGAGGGATTCTTCTTACGTGGTTAAAGCCACATAATGCCTCCCACGGCCTGTTTCCACCCACCGCCAGGCAAGCCAGCCAAGGAAGGCAAGAGCCATACCTTGTCTCCCATACGCCTTATCCGACGAGTATTTGAGCAGCTCCTGGACCACATCAGGCTCTCGCTCCCTGTTCCACGGTCCAAGAGGAGCCTGTCCTAGCCCTGTAAGCAGAGTAGCTAAGACTCACTTATAGATGCTCTTTTTTTTTTTGTCTTTTTCCTTTTTATCGGTACCAGGGATCGAACTCACGACTGCCTGCTTACAAGGCAGGCGCTTATGCTGCTGAGCTAAATCCCCAGCCCCTAGATGATCAAAATGAACTGCTGCACAGCCCTCAGTGACAGCACAACTGCAAACTTCCTGATGACAAATGCTCACTCACCAACACTGAGGCACTTCACGTCCTAACGATGACTTTACTCAACAGCTGTTACCCAAGTAAACTCTTAAAAGCCAACCCAGAAGGGGCTGGGGATTTAGCTCAGTGGCATAAGTGCCTGCCTTGCAAGCAGGCAGCCGTGAGTTTGATCCCTAGTACCGATAAAAAGGAAAAAGACAAAAAAAAAAAAAAAAAAAAAAAAAAAAAAAAAAGCCAACTCAGAAAACAGCTACAATACAGAGTTAACCCTTAGTCTAAGGTGGAAAGAACTAGCTCCAACTGGAATCTGCTCTCCCAGCCAGAAACACTACATTTTTAAAGGGCCCCAGGCCCTTGGATTGGAGGCCTGGTCCTCAGGAAGGCCCTCCTGGGAGGTGATGGATGTTGAAAGTGGGGGCTCTTTAGGTCACTGGGGTGTGCCCTCAAAGGGGACAGTGGGACCCCAACTATGAGGTGAGTGCTCTGCTCTGCTACATGGTCTGGCTGTGATGTGTTACCACACCATGGGCCCAACATAGGTGCACAGCTTCCCAAGCTGACCATCTCAGATACTGACACGCAGCCAGTGCTCAAGAGTGACCCGCACCGAGGAGCAGCACAATGTCAACCCTGTAATGTAAATTTTCCAAGGCCTCACCTGGGCGGTCCCCAGGAAGCTGGCTGTTCACACTCAACTCCGAGCCCGTGGTGACGCTGGGCTTTGTGCTCCTTGGGTCTTCGGGATGTTGGTTTTCTTCTTCCTCCTGCTGTGCCTCAGGCCTTCTTTTCTTCCTTTTCTTTTTCCTCGGAGACTCTGCCTTGTCCTCATGTTGTCCGTGGCCCTTGGAGGTGCAGCTGCTGGGTGTCAGGGGTAACAGATAGCCCTTCTAGCGCACTGACAGCAAGAGCGGGGCTCAGTGACAGGCACCTGGCCCACTTTCTTCCGCCCTGTAGGAAATCTGCCCCCAGTGTGACCCTGAGGACAACTCAGGAAACCGTTCTCTGTGACATCATTCACAGCACACTGGTCCTGGGAAAGTGTCAAGACGAGACCTGCTGCCCATGGCCACACAACGAGCATGAGGGACACTGAGGACTGTATCACATGGTCACACTTAATCCACCTGGGGCAAGTCCTACTGACTGTGAATCTAGGCTGCTGCAACCCTCCATACCTCACAGCTTGCCACGGCCCAGGTTGCTGACCCTGTCTTTGGGCCAACATATACATGTATATGGTGGTCATGGACTGGATGAGGCCATCCCCCTGCTGTCACTTTAAGAAACTGGTATCTGGGGGCTGGGGATTTAGCTCAGCGGCATAAGCGCCTGCCTTGCAAGCAGGCAGTCGTGAGTTCGATCCCTGGTACCGATAAAAACGAAAAAGACAAAAAAAAAAAAAAAAAAAAAAAAAAAAAGAAACTGGTATCTGGGGGTGGGGATTTAACTCAGCAGCTTGGCAAGCATGAGGTTGTGAGTTTGATCCCCGGTACCAAAAAAAAAAAAAAAAAAAAAAAAAAAAAAAAAAAAAGAAGAAAGAAACCGGCATCTACTGATGCTTACCACAGCAGACAGGCTCGCCATGTGCAACTGTCAGCAGTCCAGGTCGTCATCCTGCCTGCCTATTACATGGTCACCCTACCTGTCCAGAACACGTCTCTCTGGCACTGGGTTGCTTAGGTTTTACAGTCCTGACAGAGGACAGAGGGGTGTCTTGCCCCCCTCTCACCTGTGCCACGGTGGGCCCTGGAGAAGGCCAGCTTCTTCACAGAGTCCCTCTGCTGCCCTCCTCTTCCTCTTCCTGCTGCTCACAGGCTGGCTGTCCTCCTGGGGCTGGGTGTCTCCTTCCTCCCGTGGGTGAGCTGGCAGCCCCGACAGTCCCTTCTTTTTGCTCTTGGGGCTCCAAGGTGACCCTTGCCTCTGCTCCTGAGGAATGGCCATGGCCATGCCCTCTGGGCCCTTCCTCTTCTTCTTCTTCCTCTTCTTTCGAGGCACTGCAGCTGCCCCGCCCAGAAGCTGTGAGACACAGGCTTCTGGGCCAAGCATCTGAGGCTTTCCCACTGGGCTCCTGTGCCTCTTCCTGGAGGGGCTCCAAGAGGCCTCGCTAGCCTCCAGCGGCTGGTATGAAGGGGACATCAAGTTCCCATTGACCTGAGCCATGGCAGTCCGGGTGGAAGAGCAGCTCTGTGGCTCTGATGTCCATGGGGCTTGGGGGATACTACTGGACAGTGATGCAGAGGGGGTGCTGACAGGAGGCTTGGGACAGCTGGATGATTGGGGAGCAGGTGACAGAGCCCTGTAGGGACAGCAGGGAACACAGGAAGGTCATTCTGAGAGATCTGCATGGAGCTCTTGCTTCTGCCCACCCTCCCTACCTCCCTTTTCACCTAAGAATTTCAAAAGGGGCTTTCTCCCGTAATTCTCACACACACAGAAACTGTTTGAAGACAGGCTAACAACAGCATTCAAAGTCTACTTAAGATCAAAATTAGTCAGGTGTGGTGGCACAACCTACAACCCCAGTCTCTGAGGCTGGTTAATCAGCCTGGGAAATCTAGTGAGTGCTAGTCTTAAAACAAAAAAAGCTGGGGACGTAGTTCAATAAAATTGGGTTCAATCCTCAGTGTATGTGTTAGTTTCTTATGATCAAACAGTTCAAAGTATTTTTACAATGCTAATGTTCTGAGTTTTCAAACAAATGTGTTTTATCTTTTTTGGTATTGGGGATCAAACTCATGACCTTGCGTTTGCCAGGCAGGCGCCCAGGTCACTGAGCTAAACCCCTGGACCTCTCCAATGTACTTCGGAAAAAAGGCAAGCTTCACTAAGCAAGAATGGTCAGAAACAATAATCCTGCCTGAATGTGTCCTCAAACCTCCAGAGCCCCAGGTCCCCGGAAGGAAGTGAGCCTGCCGAGAGAGACAAGGGCAGCTCTCATACCTTCTATGGTTATTTCCTTCTGAGCCCGGGTGCTGGGAAAGCTGGGAGCACAGTCCCAGGCCAGCTCACACTGTAAGATATGTGCAAACAGGACTAAGTGCTACCTCAGCGGCAGCCTGCCCCCTCCAGTCATGTGCCCCAGAGAAGTCAAACTCTCTCTGAGCTGTGGTGGTCTCAGCTGTCACCAAGTGGCAGTCTGCCAGCCTCTGAGGCTTACTGCTTTCAACAGGATTGTCACTGTCATCCCTTATACCAGCACTGCCACCAGCCCACCTGTACTCCGAAGTGCTTTTTGAAAAAAAGCACTTTCTGGTCTTTTTGAGACAGGTTGTCACTATGTGGTTCAGGCTGGGCTCGGGCTCACTTTCTAGCCCAGGCTGGTCTGGAACTTGCAACGATCTGGCTGCCTCAGGCCCCTGAGTGCTGGGATTATACAAGTGCGCTACCACACATGGCTCCTGCAGTTTCTTTCTTTCTTTTTTTTTTTTTTAAAGGTTATATAACAAAGAAACATAAATACCTCAGCATTTAAGGACCTACCACGAGGAAAAATACTATGCCACGGGTGGGGCCTGTGTGTAAATGTGAAAGGGAGGCAGAGGCAGAGGGATGTGGGTGGGGGACAGGTAGACGGCCCTTTGGGGGTACAGAAGCAAGGCTGAACCTCTGTTCACTTTGCCCCTGTTCTCTGCTTCCTCCCTCCCCAGCTGCAGACAATCCCACGCACAGTGATCAGTCAGGAACTCTGGACTCTGCAACCGGTGCCTGAGGGATGTGGCACCTTGTCACCATCTCACTAGGGCAGGAGGACTGGCTTCCAGAAGGAGCAGCTGGGGGTCTGAAACCAGTCTCCTTTAGCTCAGAGCCCATGCAGCCATGGCAGGAGACCTGGGAAGGGGTGCCCTCCAGGGACAAAGAGACAGGAACACCATTGGGAGACCAGGAACACCATTGGCATGATGACCACAGCCAGAAGGACTCACAGGCCTCTGAGCCCACTTGGTATTTCAGGACAAGGTCATCCACAGCACACCAGGTCACATGCCAGTGACCGACAGAGGATGAAAACTGGAAACTCAGAGACTAAACTGACACTGGCCAAGCAAGGCTGCTTTACAGATGGTGTCAGAGAAGAGGATCTGGATCCTTTAGTGGCCCGGGGTTCTTCGAGAGATAGATGGCACCTGCAGGGCTGGTGCCTCGGCTCACCTGGATTTACTGACAGGCCAAGTGGAGGCAACGACGGGGTGAGTGACTGTCATGGGGTAGGTGAGATCGGAGAGTGGTGAGGGGGAAGGTGAACGGAGGTCATTGCCGGTCGCCCTCCGCAGGGTGCTGGCCTGCAGTTATTGACATAAATAAAAACTTGGTGGTCTAAAAAAGGTTTCCGTGGTGAAGAGGGAAAATAAAAGTAAAATAAAAATAAAATAAATAAATAAATGAAAGAGCCCAGAAAGGATGAGGGATAAGAAGGGGAAAAAGAGGGAGGCAGAGGGTGGGGATGGTGGAAGAATCAGAAGTGTTGCTGGTTAGAAACAGAAAGGAAAAAGGAAAGAAACTCAAACAAAAACCTCAGCACAACAACACAGCATCATGTCACTGCCCCTGTGAGTTCAGAGCTACACACAGATACCCCAGCCCAGACTTTTCTTCTGTGAGAGGGTCTGGGCTCCCCACGACCCTCCTCCCACCCTAGGGGCTCAGCTCTCCAGGGGCCTGTGGCTCAGCCATGACAACACTAGATCTACAGCAGGAAGGAAAGCAGGCCTCCGCCAGACCCACCCCCTCCACCCAAGACAGCCCTTTTACAACCTGTGACTCCCTAGGGAAGCCTCAAAGGCACCTGCTCCTCCGAAACAAGGCAGCTGGAGTCTCCCACCACTTTCCCCTCCTCAACTACGGCACCCCTACTTGGGCCCTGAGATACTTCCAGAGATGAGACCCCCACACCCACCTTCTTGGCAGACAGGGCCAGTTTCTTGGCTGGTGGCGGGGACATGAGGCTCATGTGTTCGATGGCAGTGCTGCCCAGGACAGGAGACTTGAGCTTCACCATCTTAGAATTCAACCCATTAGGCAGCGCTTTGGAGAGACCAGCAGTGGGGCTGTTTGTTCCCTGAGAATCACTGACACAGGTCACTCTGCCCTCAGGAGCCTGCAGGACCTCAGGGCTGCTGCCAGAAGAGTGCTCTGGGCTGGAGCTGCTGGAAGTCCCCTTCTCCAGGTCTGCACTCTTGTCTTCCCCCTTCAACCCGTGCCCATTGGCAGGGGCCCCAGCCAGGAGCTTTGGTGAGGTAGAGACGACAGTGTCCCCGCTGTCCCAGGAGCCCCGTCGTCGGCTCCCAGGTTCACTGGTACTCGGAGAAGTCCGGAGGGGAAGCGAGCAGTGCTGCGAGGGGACCTGCTTCTTGGCTTTCTTTCCATTCTCATCCAGGAGGGCTGGCATGTGTGTGGGTGTATGGGCCAGTCTGGGGGTAGGGGACCCCAAGGGGGATTTCGTAGGCACATATCCATTCTGTAACTTTGGGCCTGGCAGGGAGCTGCTCCTGGAAACAGGCACACCAATCTCCTCAGGAGCCTGTGGCTTCCTCATGGGAACAGGGCCTTGCAGCTAGAGAAAATCAAGGCAGAAAGCACCATCAGAGACCAAAGGTGTGCTGGCCAGGCAGCTGACCCTCGGCCAAAGAGACTCCCAGAGGAGGGGTGGCCTCTATGTGCAAACCTGGGACAAACTGCAGGCACGTGGTAAAATCTGTTACCAATCTGAGCAGACTCACTGTTTCCCAACTCACGCCCACACAGACATGCCATTCTAAGAGCATCTTTACTGTGGAGGAGTATGTTGGCATCAGGATTTAAGTAAAGGCGGGCTGGGCATGGTAATGCATGCCTGTAATCCCAGCACTCTAGGAGGTTGAGGCAAGGGCATCACAATTTCGAGCCTGGCCTAGGCAACTTAGCCACTTAGTGAGACTGTCCATAAATAAAAAATAAAAAGGGCTAGGGATATAGTTCAGTGTGAAGACCATTGGTTCAGCTTCCAATATCACAAAAACACGGGAAAACAAAAGAAAACAAAATGCCAGGGAGTGACAGAAAAGGAAAAACTGTACCAACCTAACAATAAATATACCAACTGAAAACACCACCTACACACAGCCACTTATTACAATGCTACTGCCTTCTCCTGGTCATTCCTGAAGGGCTGCAACCCTGCTCAGTCTTAACGCTGCTGTCGAAGCATCTTCACAGATCATTCTCCCAAAAACCTCTTCAATGTCTGCTGGCAGTCACCATCCCCTTGAATGGTACTTTGTATGTATGGTACAGTTAACAGCCCAGTACTCCGTACCTCCTCCTCACAGCACTAAACCCCGGGAAAATAACCTACTCTGTGTTTATATGCCTAGTCTAGGCCCTTCTCTGTTTATTATGAAGCCCCAAGAGCCCTGCCTGCATCTCTCTCCTGTACCACCACAGTCCTCACAACCTGCCCCAGCCTGAACGCAGTCAGTGCTGAAACACATTACGGTCAGGGCTACGGATCGTGAGGCCCTGGTTTCAAATTCCGCTACCGCAACAAAACAAAACAATTTTTTTTGAAGATTGAAGGTTTTTTTTGGTGTGTATGTGGTGCAGGGGATTGAACCCAAGGTCTCATGCATGCAAGGCAAGAATTCTACTACCAAGCCACATTCCCAGTCTGATTAAGGTTTTTCTATATGTTGTAGCCTATACTAATTTTCCACAAATGGACTTGGTAGCTAGTCTTATGAATTTCTACTTACTCTTACTAGCAATGTTTATTTCTTTTTCAAAATATACAGTAATTTGGCACTATTTTTGGCTCTCATTATATTACTATTTGTATCCTTGGAGTTTGCTTTGGAGTGATGGTCAGTCATTGCAATTGAATTCTGTTTTGTCTGTTAGTACTGGGAGACTCAATCTAGGGGCTCTGCAACAAGCTAATCCCCAGGCCTTTTTATTCCCAATATAGGGTCTCACTAAATTGTCTAGGCAAACCTTGAACTTGCAGCTCTCCTACCTCAGCCTCCCCATGCTGGGTCCACAGGCGTGCGCACCTCTGCTCACCCTGTCCCACTCAATGAGGTGATGTTATAAATGTCAACTTCTTGTTCCAATTTGTTTCTTATAATTCTGGGGATGGAACCCAGAGCATTGAGAATTTGGTGCATGCATCCTACTAACTAAACTCCCAGCCCTTTGCTGCAAATATTTTAAAAATTTCATCATTTAATATCTTATACACAAAGCTTTAAATTTTAGTTTAACCAATTTATATTTCATTTTCTCTCTCCATTTTTTTCCTTTCTCCCTCTCCTTTCTTTGTACTGGGACTGAACCCAGGAACTCATGCATGGTAGGTAAGTAACCTACTAGTAAGCTATATCCCCAGCTAGTCCTTCCCGCTTTGAGACAGGGTATTGCTAAATTGCCTAGGCCGGGTTCCAACTTTTGATCCTTCTGCTTTAACCTCCCAAGTAGCTAGGATTAAAGGTGTGTGCCACTACTCTTGGCTTCTCTCTCAATTTTAAATTTACAGTCTTCCTACTTCCAGAGTTTAATTAAAACTCATTTCTATTTCCTTTTGAATTTTTGTGCTTGTTTTTAAATTCCTTATTAATATTTAACTCCTTACTAATGTTCTCATGGGAATACATTTTTCAAGCACTGTAAAACCTTTCCATGTCTGGAACAGTTATACATTTACTGAAATGCACACAATCTTACAGTAAAATGGTTATTTAATTTTAGTGTACTTGGAAAATGATTTTTGAAATAGAAACACCAGCAGTAAGTGAAGTGGCCCTGCAGGCACCTCCTGCAGGTATGCTACTCTACTTCACGCACCAGGGAGGCTTGCTGGCTTCCAGACCCTGGCTCCAGTGGCCACCAACTTTGCAATGACATTGTGTGATATATTTTTTTAAGGGTACTGGGAATCAAATGCAGGGCCTCGCACTTGCCAGGCACGCGCTGTGCCCCTGGACCTACATCCCCAGCCTGACAGTGTGTATTCTAATTCCTATGCCTATCCAAAAGCTTCTAGTTTCATTCCTTTTCTCCACCACTGGAAGGAAAAGACACAATTATATAAATGACCAAAGCAGGCCCTGCTGACTGCATGTGGGTTCACCTCTCCAGGGAAGGACGTGATGGCTCAGAAATGGTCAACCAGAGGGCAACTCTGCATGCTCAGCCATGGCGTTACAAGGAATGACTTGGTACCCTGACAGGAAAAGGAATCCCTAACTGTTTCAACAGAAAATCTCAAATACACGGTGATGACCTAAGGCGTTCTCTAACTGCATTTTGGACTGCTAGCATTTCGCCACATAAGTCTCAGCGCTCCTCGCCCATCCACACGTGTGTGTAGACATATGCATGCATATTCCTGTTTCTGAACCATGTGAGCAAATGACCCCAATATGCCTGCACTGATTTCCACAGACCGAAGCCACACTCACACAGATCCAAGATCATACCGGGATCCCAGCACAGGCACAAGCACTCACGCTCTCAGAGTCAAGGGTAGGTACTTCCCAGGTCCTCAATTTGAATTTGCTGAGTCAGGCTCTCTCATCACTGACCTCTTTTCTCTGTACCCAATCACAGCTGGTGATCAACTTAGGAAATATCATCAACTGACACAGTACCACCACCTGCCCACTACTGCCAAGTTGCCCAGGGTCCTACACGCATGAGCAGACTTAGGGACTCTTGAAAGCGCCAAGGCAGAAGTTCTAAGAGCACCTCCACCACCCCACCTTCCTCAACAGTACCTTTGCAGTTGTGGGCAAGGAAGTGACCCCGTTGCCAGCACTCTTCTTGGTGTGATCTGGAACCACACTCTGGCGGCTTGGAAGGGTAGAGCTGGCCCTGGAGATGAGGCCCTCTGGACTCTTCTTAGAGCCTGGAATTCTGTCAGAGCAAGGAATCAAGTCAGAGGAATCCGTATGCAAGCCCAAAGGCAATGCAGAATGCAATTGAAGCAGAATCTGGGTAACCTCAGCTCAGATTGGTGTTTCTGTGTTTTAGATAGATGTGAAGAACAAAATTCATCATACTATGGTAATATATGTACACCTATGTTTATAGCAGCACAGTTTGTAATAGCTAAATCTTGGAAACAACCCAAATGCCCATCAACTGAGGAATGAATAAAAAAAGATGTGTTTTTTTCAATAATGGAATACTACTCAGCCATAAAAGATAAACTCAAGTCTTTTATCGGTAAATGGATGCAACTCAAGACCATACTCATAAATGAAATAAATCAGACCCTAATGTGTAAACATAGTATTGTCTCACTAATGTGAGAATCTGAAAAAGTAAACAAGACTCATAATGTATAACAGATATTGTGACTAGTGAAGAAACTTCAAAAGAAAACTGATGGGAGAAAGAGCAAAGGAAAGAAGAGAAAAAGAAAAAAATATATAAACACGAGACAGTTCAGTTATACAGCTGGTTCCTCTTGGTTCACCGAGGGGAAAGTTTCACGATAGTGATCTACTGAACAGTGTCTCACACCTGTGTCTTGTACTCTGAACAACTACTGTGACTATAACAATGCCCGACATGTTGGTTACTGTTAACTCTCCTACTAGCCTGCTTTGAAACTGTTTTATTGCTATTTCTTACTTCTGTTTCAAAAAAAAGGAGAGGAAAAAGAAGAAGAAAACCACCTCAAGGAGTCCCAAGTGTCCTAACTCCTCTGAATTCTTGCCCCACCCTTCAGACACAGCAGAACCAAGCGGTCCTCTGGGGTTAGGTTTTTAAGTCATCGATTAGAGAGCGAAACCTCCTCTGGGTGCATCTTCTGAACGCACGAGGGAACATGTAGCAGCAAGAACCTGGAACCATGTCTTTCAACAAGGAGGCTAGTGACTACTCTACAAAAGGCACAGCCAAGACAGCTCCTTTGCTGTGTGGTGGCGCACATCTGTAACCCTGGGAACCCAATGCAGGAGGACTACAGCCAAGTTCGAGGCCAGTCTGGGCTACAAAGTGAGTTCAAGGTCAGCCTGAGTCACAGACTGAGACTGTGACTCAAAAAACAAAGCAGCTGCTCTGGACCCCCAATAGCAGCCTTCCCTATCTGTGGGTCACTGCTCCAGGCGAAGACGTGCTAACTGACTGCCATGGCATGTGTGCCATGGAACACATCTAATTTGGAGCAATAATGTAAGAATACAGGCGAGTCTGGCTTCGTGTCACACGCCTGTAACCACGGTACTCAGAGAGGCTGAGGCAGAAGGATTACGAGCTGGAGCCAAGCCTGGACAGCTTAGCTAGACCCTGTCTTAAAACAAAATAAAATGGGGCTGGTGATGTAGCTCATTGCTACAGTGCTCCTGGATTTGATTCCCAGTACCCACACCCACAAAAAAGCAAGCAAGCAAATAGCTAACATTCGAAACAAAATGTGTACACATTCAAAGTAGCATTGACATGAGGTCAGATGGAATCCCAGTTTGCCTTTCTCGAAAGCTTCAGGTTTTACTAACGACCAGGCAGACTGGCTACAAAGGTTTACCCCCAGTGATGTGCTCTGTTGTGTTCGACTGTAACTGCCCAAGTCTTTTCTCTCCTATGGAACTACCGGTTCATCCAAGGCAGGAAATGGCTGGGGAGAGCAGTGGTTTGGCAACAGAGCACAGTGGTGCAAGTGCATCTGGGGAGGGTGCAGGCTCCTCACCGCAGGTAGAAAAGCACGTAGGCCTGCTGGTTCAGAACCACCTTGACATTGCTGGCGTGAACCAGGGAGTCGTTCATCTGGTACCACTGTCCGTTGCTTGCCTGGGCAGCACAAGGAACAGGAAACAGAACAATCAGTAGACATCCCACAATCTCACTATTTACAAAGTGGTGCTAGTTGCTACATTTATCCAAGTGCTAACTAACCTGCTGACCCCTCCTCAAAGTGTGTACCACCTGTATTGTATCACTCCCAATGTGACCCTGAAGAATGAGTGGGGTTCTACTTCCTTCCCAGTAACCCTTCTAAAGAGGCAGACACAAGCACCAGAGTTTCTGCCAATGTCTGATGTCCAGGGAAAGCTTTCCATACCTAAGGACAAAGGAGCTACAGGAATTCCACAAGTCTTAAGAACACTAGGCTCAGTAGGGTCAAATCTTTTTTTTTTTTTTTTTTTTTGTCTTTTTCCTTTTTATCGGTACCAAGGATCAAACTCACGACTGCCTGCTCGCAAGGCAGGCACTTATGCTGCTGAGCTAAATCCCCAGCCCCAGGGTCAAATCTTAAAGGCAGAATTTCCCTGAAGCAACAAGACCTTGAACACAGCTCTAAAATACTGTCACTTCACAGAATAAAATGTGCAGAAACTAACTTTGGGCGTGCACGGGCACTGCCAACCTGCCCAGGAAGCAGCACAAGGTCACTATCTGGGTGGATCAAAACCTGCCAGTGCTCACCTTCACGTAGCAGTAGTAGTGCCCAGCATGGCAGCTGTAGCCTGAGTGCACTAGCACGGCGTATAGTCCATACATGACAGGGTCGCCATTACTCTGGGACATATATGGACGGATGTTCAGGAATTCCGGATAGCCTACATCCTGTTTGAAAGTTCAAGTAAAAGGCAAATGACACTCACCCGTGAGAGTAAGGATCAACCGGCCCTTTCCACCCACCACCACATGAAATGTCGGACTTGGCTGGGCTCTTAACAAGCTGGGACAGATGGGTGCATGGGAACACTGAGCACAACACCCTTCACATACACTGGCCACCAGCCAGTGACTGAGAGCCAGGCAGCCAACACGAGCATCACATTCACCTGACCTGCGGGAAATGATGTTACTGTCCCACTAAACCACTGAGCTTTACACTTCTCTTTGCCACAAATTGAAACTTAACTAGTTGTTTCCCAATTGCAAAGTGAGAAAAATAATTCACTTTATTCCCTAGCTCTACGGGAACACTGTTAGGAGACAGGACACAGACCACACTGGGTTTAGGTCTTTAAAAACAAAAGTGCTCAATCAATTCAATGGACTGTCCTGCTAAGTTAAAATTTTAATGTACTGCATCAGGGGGATGCCAACATTTACTCCAGAAATGAATTTTTTCCCTTAGGAAAAAATATTCTTAAATTATCTTTCAATGATAGGCAATATGTCTGCATTTCCACTCATACAAATAAAGTTTTGATAGTACTGAAGACTGAACCCAGAGCCTTGTGAGTAACAGGCAAGCTCTCTATCACTAAGATATACCCCACCCGTTTTCTAGGTTGAGATAGCCCGTCCTCCAGGCTGGCCTCAGATGTGGGCTCCTCCCGTCTCAGCCTGGGTAGCCGGGATGAGCCGTCTGTACAGCGAGCTCACACCTCAAGTACAATGAATGGAGTGAGACACACAGATCTTAGGGCGTCACATTTAGTGTTCAAGAGCGCTTGACAGTACACACCAACAGCATGTATGAAATGCCCAAGTCCAGGCCTCTGAAGGACTCTTTGTGCCATCTAAACACCACTGCTCTGTCTTCTGTCACCATCTGTCACTTTCACCAGCTCTTCAACTCCCTCATACAGCATATACATTTTTGGCTGGCTTCTTTTTGATCAATATGATGTCTGTGAGATTCACCAAACGCCACTATACACCAGGGGCTCAAGAGCTTCAATCAAGCACCCTAGTTAAACAGAGCCCAGAAGTCACAAAGATGAATGCGTCTCAAACTGCATTCCACTGGAGAACAAGTTCTGGGAGGTGTCACAGGACACGAGCTCCTCAGGGCAGAACCACACAGCCCTCCCTCCTTCCCGGAGTCACCAACACAGCACGCACACTGTAACCACTGCAGGGTTAGCAAGGAAGGAGAAAGCATGACTCCTCTCCACATGTCTAAAAATGTCTTCTTAGAGGTCTAAAAGCAACATGCTAACGAGGTCTAACGAGGCCTGCAATCACTATCAGTGCTCAAACTAAGGCTCAGGCAAGTTCCTGCCCAGTGCACCTAATCAGGCTCTAATTACAGAATGGACCCTAGACTTTTATGAACCATGTATATTTTGCTGGAATGTCATGGTGCAAACAGATTTTTAGTCTTCATTCCACAAAAAGCCACTGCATGCAAGTGCTCCTATTTCAGAGATCAATAGCATACTGCAGATCAGCACCATGGAGTCCAGTGTTTACCATACTTTTTTTTTTAGGAAACCCATATTGGTTTGATAGCCCACATAGGTACTCCATATTGGGAAAAGGCCAAGAGCAGGCAGAGGCTGAGGGAAAAAACTCCAGTAAGACAACAGCTTTCAAACCGCATTTGTGTGGAATCATCAAGAGATTCTGAAACAACACAGATTCCTAAGTCCTGCTCTACAGGGAAAAGCCAGGAATCTGTGCTTTATATGAAACATCCAGCTGACTTACGCACACCAAGACCGACGGAGTAGCCTGGGATGCAGGTGAGCCTCACCTTGGTGATCTTCCCCCCACTAAGGTTGGCAAAGCGCTTGAGAGAAAGGGTTAAGACATTGGACGTCCTATGGATGGTGAAGCGCTTGCTGGCTGGAACCTTCTTCCTGCATCTGTGAAGGTGAACGCAAAAAGTATTAAGAGGGCATTTTAAAACACTTATGCTCATGCTATGTTAACAAAAGGAACAGCTTTTCAGTGACAATGGAGACTTCCTGACTGAGACCTATCAAGAGGACATCAAAATCAATAGGTCCTAAGTCAAGAACAACTATCGCAGGGCAGCAAAGAAGAGAAAAAAAAGTAAAGACCCTAAAGCAAAATGACTTCACTAACCTGGAGACTGAATAAGATGTACAAAAAGTGGCTTTGGGTATTACAGGAAAGAATGAAGCGAAGCGGATGTGGAAAAATGATACACAGACAGTAGATGAAAGCAAACAAAGCCAGAAGACGAAAAGGAAGCGGGAGCAAAGAGACAGAAGTGAACAGCTTCCAGAGTTGAGGAATAAAAAACAGTATTTTGGCACAGAACAAGAAATTTGAAAAAGCAGAATTAAGAAACTGTTCTTCAGGAGTGACTGCAGCTTCACAGTGACCTACATACCAAGACATCTACCCAGTAAGATTGTGCAGATGCTCAAAGGACAAGTGTGGTATCTGCTGAATCAGTAAGATGCCAGGGAAACTTCAAAGTTATGGACAGAAGCCACTACCACATCTCATCTGAGAGGCGGAGTAGTGTGGTGTGCCACATTCTGCTGATGAGATTAGGAAGTCCCTTCCCCTGAGCCTCAGTTTTGTCACTGAGGGTAACTGCAGACCCTCTAGAGTAGTGACAAGTGCTGTGTGAGCTCATGCCTCCTACTCCTTTGTGCTGCAGGAGGGCCATGTTATAATAAAGACTTGCATGCAGGCCATTTAAGCCATGTGAGTGAGGTCTAAGGAAGCGCATGAAGGGTACCGGGCCAGGAGGCTTACTATATAGCTTTCTGGATGTTCGGTCTTTGGTTGAGAGCAAGGTGAAAACTTACTTGGCACACATATAGGCATTCTCTCCACTCAGGACATCTGGTTTCACAAAAAGTTCCAGAGCACGCACAATATTTGTAGCTTGCTGAGAAGGATAAAATGGAATAAACAGCAGGAGAAAAAGGCTGACTCAAAATATACCAAATTTAAGGTCTTTTTCAGGCTGAGGCAGCAAATCATACAACTTGACCTGCATAAAAATTGGCTTGCTAGCTGCCACCTCCTGGGACTGCAATACCCAATACGAAGGAGGAAGGAGTCAGGCTGTGTCCCTTTCTAAAGCAGTGACAGGTGACAGCCATGTGAGATCGGCCATGTGAGTCACTACTGCAGCTGGGTCTGCTCACATGGCCCAGCAACAGCGAGCTAGAATAAAGAACAGGGCCAGCCCATGGCACTCCAGCTGCTCCCAAGGAATGGCTCCCTAGCACCACAGGGTCTCTCTCCTCAAACCTGGGTGACAGGGCTGCCACTATTCATGGCTCAGGACACAAAACTCAGTTTCTTTCTCTTTTTCTGTCTTTCTGTCTTTTGAAAGGAATATCAGTTTTTAATTTACATGGGATTCTAAGTATTCTTTTCCTCATCTATTCTGATAAAGCCTGGCAGAGGGCCAGGCTTTCCTATCCTGCCTGGCCCTCTGCCTCAGTGTCCCAATGAAGATAGGACCCAGAATCCCATATGTACCCGAATCTCTAGTGCCACATCCAGGTAGGGGTCGTAGGTGTCTGAGACACTCTTGCACACGGAGCACTTCACTGTAACAGACAAAAAGCAGTGAGTGGCCACATCCACGAGGGGACTGCCAGGAGCCCCACACCTAGAACTGCCGGGGCAGAACTCTCAGCCTGCTTCTGTCATCGAGAACCATCTGGCTAGGCCCTGGAGTCAGGAGGTAAGAGAGCCCCGCACCTGCGCTGCTCACAAGATGCCAGGCCTCCGCATCATGAGCCTCGTCTGGCACTAACCACTAATTGCCCCCGTGTGACTAGCAGCGGGAGAACAATGGCTGCACCTGGAGGACCTGGGCCAGCAAGATGGGAAAAGCACCTTAACATGAGCACTGGCACTTTTCTCTACCTCTGTCAGAGCAACATTGTTATAAATTAGTGGGCCAAGTGGCCAGGCAGGAAGCCAAGACTCAGGACCTCCATGAGTACTGGGTCTGCCCAGCAAGGAAAGAGCCCAGCCAGCCCACACAGGCTCAGGGTTTTCTGGGTTAATGTCTAACAAGCTACCGCAGGACGGAGAAAACATATTCACTCACCTCGTGATCTGAGATAGCCTCCAAAAATCTGATGCACCAAGGTGGTCGCCTGTGTCTGACGGTCCAACCTGAAAAGGAGGTAACCCTCTGAGAGATGACACCAGGCAACATGGTGTGTTTGAGCCACTCTCCCCAGCCAGTGTGACACTGAGAAAGCCCACCTGCCCTGCACACTCAGAACCTGCACCTCAGGGCCCAGTGGAGATGGAGAAAGAGGCTCTGCAGAGCTGCCCCTCACAGCAGGTAACCTGGCCACTTCACAGAAAACAAAGAAAATTACCTGCATCCTCATGTAGTCCTATCCTTCCCTTTCACTCTCAACAAAAGGAGACACAAATATGGGGTGGAGCTGGAGGCTGAGCCCACCTTGGGCATTGGGGCGAGAGTGGGTAGGGTCAAAGGCTGTATCTTCACACTCTTCTCAGCAAAGGACGGTAGGGTCATGAGGCCTCAGCATGGGTTACTAACTGGGACCCGGGACAGTTCTGAGCCTCAGTAACCGACCTGCCCTGCAGAGCTAAGAGCCCATGGTTCTTCTGACAACTAGTCTGCCCCAAAGAGCTAGAAGCCCACAGTAGTCCCACATGGCGAGTACGCATTTCTGCTGCAGGTACCATTTGCTAGCTTCCACATCTGTTCTGCCTCACCACTCTGAACTCTGTCACCAGAGCACCAGGACCCAGCTCTGGAGTCTTTTCTCTAGCGAGCATGACTCTCCCTGGCTTCTCACAGGCATCTGTCCACTTAGCCCATAGGCCATATGGATCCATCCATGCACATGTGGCTTCTCCACCTTCTGCAGAGTCTGCTGGCCCAGGCCTTTCCTCACTGCAGTGCTTCCCAGATTGGCAGCTCCAAAACGTCTGGAGGACATTTTTACTTTGCAAAGTTAGGAAATTAAAAAAAAAAAAAAGCCAACTGCCACGACCTACTGTTAGCACCATTCATCAAAAGAAGGGCTATTTTAACTTCAAATAAAACTAGCAGGAGGAAATTCAAAGGGCATAAAAACCTACAGCAGGCGCACATTACAGCAGCAGCCAAGTCCCAGGCCCCAGAGAAGTGAGAAGCAGAGCACAGAGTGCCACACAGCCCATCCTCAGCGTCACGGGCAGAGGAAGCACGACCACGAACATGAGGCCAGATCCAAGATCCTGTATCACATGACCCAGGCCAGCCAGGATAGCTCAAGAACAATGAGTGAGGGGTCACGAGGGTTGACCCCAGTTAGCTGGCTTCAGCAAAAGCACTCTAGAGGCTAGAAGCCAGGTGGGAAAGGACAGAAAGGGGACAGTTAGGATCTCAGAAAAAACCCAAACAGAGGCTGCAGACTCTCCTACAACCCAGAAAAGGCCTACAATTCAAGAAAATGTCCTCCCTGTGCTGACACTGGAGGGGATGTGGCTTCAAAATCCTGAGACTTACAGACAGAGAGGAAGGTGGCTTTAGCCAAGGCAGAGAGGCTGGGGTAGAAAACAGCAATAAACAAGATGCAAAACATTCATCAGATGAAATCTATCCCCAGGAATTAGACAGAAGAAAACAAGACAACTTCCATATTGAATTAAATATCCTCTGACAGTAGTGGGTAATATGAAAAATCACTGTGGAGGCAGGGGATTTAGCTCAGCGGCATAAGCGCCTGCCTTGTAAGCAGGTGGTTGTGAGTTTGATCCCTGGTACTGATTAAAAAAAAAAAAAAAGAAAAATCACTGTGAATAAAAAAGAAAACAAAAATTTTTCGAGACAGAGTCTCACTATGTAGCCCATGCTGGCCTTGCATTTGCAGCAACCCTCCTGCCTTAGCTTCTTGAATGTTACGATTACAAGCATGCACCACCCACCCCTGGCTCAAAAATTTTAAATAAAAATAAAGAGAGAAAATTGAACTTAGGAAAGAAACAGAGGTTTTCACACACGTCAGAAATGAAGACAGTATGCCCTGTCCAAGGGAGAAAAGATTTACAAAATCAGTACAGGGCACTACAAAGCTGGAAAACAACCAGGGAATGAACACACAGTGAAGACAGGGCACCCAAGAAAAGGGAGCTGAAAGGGAAGGCCAGTAATAACGGAGTACAATGTAACAATGAGTATAAAATTAGAACAAAGGAAGACTTCCAGAAGTTAGCAAACATGCAAACCAACAAAATACTACCACCAGTGGGTTGCTGTAGGAGAGTGACCTCCCAGGTGGTGCTGATTGTCATCATAGGACTATCACTGTCCCCGGTAACAGAGCTCTTGGGTCACACATGACACGCTCATCTATAAGCTGGCCTTGTGGGTGGACTGCGGCACATTTTAAAACCACACACTTAAAATGGCACCAATCCAGAAGCAATAGTGTTCAGATATCATCTGACCACTGCTGGAGGCTGATTTTAGGTTAGTGATGTTTTTCTGTACATATTTTAAGGGTTAAGGTATGCCACAGATTCAACTTCTAATTTTCCTTGGTCAGGTAACAATGTTGCATATGGGAAAATAAGATAATCAGCTATAAGACCTAGGCAGGAAAACTATCAGGCTTTAAAGATTTGTTTAAAAAGGCAGTATCGCATACTTTTATAATCCTGGCATTGGGGAGATCAAGGGAGGAAGAGGATAAGTTTGAGAACAGGCTGGTCTACACAGCAAGTTCAAGGTCAGCCTGGACTGCATAACAAGATACTGTTCACAAAACAAAAAAACCTCCCTCTCCTTAATTCTCAAGGCCTCCAAACAAACAAACAAACAAACAAACAAAGCAAGTAAGTACATCAACACAGTGATACCTCAAATCTGGGCAACTCCGTGCACTGCTGTTCTTGAGCATGTCTGCAGGCAGGCAGCCTGACATGAGCACACAGGGAAGCCCAGAGAACACCAGTAAGCACTGGGCACCTGAAGCAACCTAAGGCCAAAGAAAGGGATTGGTATAGCAATCTATTCCAGCAACAAATGATGCATGCTAGAGTGACAAGAAAGAAGCAAGCTGAAACTGACCAGCCAGCACCCAAAGGCTGAGAACACACGACCAGGGCTCTTAAAAAGGGGAGATGTACCAAGGGAGTCAATGAACAAATATGCTGATCTTTCCACACAATAAAAGAATTTTAAGAATAGGTAAGCAAACAGAAAACGCACAGCAAATATGTCATCTGTAGGAATTGTGAGATAGAATGAGTTGAGAACAACCTTCTCACTTATAATGATATACTGTCTATTAAAGAGGTTAGACTTGGCCTCTGCAGACCAAACCTAGAACAGTGCTCAGAGAGGAATGGGATAAGCAGAGGAGTGTGAGCAGCAGGAAACCTCCCAGAGAAGTATGCGGTTCCAACGCGGGCAAAGGACACCAAAAAGTACAGATTGGGACAAGGACACTTCCTAACGCCAGGGCAACAATTCTCAGCTAGGACAGGGCAGTGAGAACATCCATCCACAAGCGCAAGCACGGAGAAATCACAGCAGCTGCACAGGCTTAGAGCACCACAGCATAGGAGGAGGAGACCACAGACACAGCCAGAAGGCAAACACAATGCAAAATCAGTACAGGGCACTACAAAGCTGGAAAACAACCAGGGAATGAACACACAGTGGAGACAGGGCATCCAAGAAAAGGGAGCTGAAAGGGAAGGCCAGTAATAACGGAGATCTTAAAGACCCGGACAGCAAATGGCATAAGGACAGACAGTCTCAAAGGCACATATCACAAATACTATGTACCAAGTCGCAGGAAAACACCAGGAAGTTCCACAGAAATGTGGTAAACACGCTTTGAGCACAATGCAAGCAATAACGAAATGACTACCACCGGCAAAAACCAAAAGGGGCCGTTCACCTGCCAACTAAGTGATGCTCAGCATCAGGAAGCTCACCTTGTGACATTTCGCTAGAGACCAGTGGACACTCTCATGGATGGGTATTCAGTGGGCACCCATCTCTCTGCTGTTCCCTGTCTACCTCTGTCCGAGTGCTACATACCCGGAGCTGCAAATGCAACCCACCCCTACCCACCTAGCCCTCCCCAACGTCTTCTACCAGCAGCAGATACTACCTAACCAGCCTGGACCCACATGTCGGTTCCTGTCCTAATCTCTTGACTGGACCATGCCCTGTGCCAGGGTCAGCCAACACAGCACATCCCCATACTCCACTGCAGGGCCGACACCACACTTGCCCCAGGCCCAGAGAGGCCTAACTCTTCCCTCCTGATCTTCCCTGATGGAAGAGGCTAGACACCCCAACCTTCCATGCCCCAGATGTACTCTCCAGTCTTTCCAAGACCGTGCTTCTCACAGGATGAGGAAATGCTGCACCATAAGCTCCTTAGACCTATGGACATCTTTAATTTCCAGTTCCCCAGGGCTGAATTCAGTGTTAGGCATACAAGAGGTCAACACACAACTACTGGAGAAAGCGTCTCACCAGAAGATGGCACATGTAAGGACAGACCCAGGTCTGAGTGTCAGTTTGTGTGTGCATGTGTGTGTGTACACGCATACCTGCACATGAGTAGGAGCTCACATCCTGGGAAGGGAAAACGTGACTACACCTTTGGAACAGGCAACCAGCATCCAAGAATCTGGTAACAAGTCTTTTCCATGTAACTTGGTTTTCTTTACATGTGGTTTATTTACCTAAGAACCCCACTCACTGAAACAGGTGGTGTTCCCATTTCAGTCCTTCACTGCTACAACTGAACTGTTTGTTTGTTTGTTTGTTTGTTTGTCTTTTTTCTTTTTTATCCGTACTGGGGATCGAACTCACGACCGCCTGCTTACAAGGCAGGTGCTTATGCCTCTGAGCTAAATCCCTAGCCCCAACTGAACTGTTTTAAGAACAATCCAGACATTTCCTGAGCTATTTCAGGTATTTCTAAATAAAGGTTTTAGTTCACTTCCAAGCTCTGATGAGAATCAGGACAGCAAACCTCCCTGCCTGGTCTTGGCTAAACCATGGCCCCAGGGACAACACAGAGCACTTGACAAGGATGGCAACTGCCTATGTGAGAATCTATGCCATAATCAATGGTTACATGGATAGGTCCTACCCTTCCAAATCTGTAAGGAGAGAGGTGGGACTATAACCTCAAGTTCTCTATATGCTGTTAAGTTCTTGTACAGAGATGTAATTCCTACTACCCTGTCCTCTATCAAAACAGCAGGGTGATTTTAAAAAGATCAGAGCCCATAACCAAGCACACTGCTTAAAGACCTGCTGAGTCACCTCCCCTCACTCGGCTGCTTGGGACAGAGCTACCACTCTTTGGCCCTGCCACCTGATTCAGTTCCGCTGCCCTTGGCCAGCCACAAGGATGCAGCAGGACACAACTTTCTCCCAGGGTGTGCCCTACTTGGGCTTCAGGAATGGCCCAGGCATACATGCAAATGCTGCCTCATCTGCAGAGGAAATTGGGTAGGTGATGAGGGCTGCTGCCTCCACTGTAAGGAAGGAGTCTGTTGTAGCCCTCTGGGAAGGGCAGGAGAGACTAGGCACATACTTGGCATAGCCATTCAGGCAGGCCTTCTGCATGGCATCGATGGTGTACCGGAGAAACTCGTGAGCATCCTCTTGGTTCCCAAAGCGGAAGTGGCGGGCAATCTCTGAGGAAGGAAGAAAGCAGGTACAGAAGAGTGCTGCCTGCTGAGTGACTGCTCAGAGTCACAGGGGGACTTTTATAGCACAGTGTGAGGGAACCAAGCACTCTGCACCATGTTCTACAGCCTGAGGTCTATTCAAGGTGGCTGTTAACTGCTCAGGGAAACCTACGGCTTGGGCTTGGCCGGGTACAGTTTCAGCTACTGTGGAAGATTAATGGAGCCCAAGAGTTCAAGGCCAGCCTGTGCAACATGGCAGGATGCTCCCACTCCCAAAGGAATGTAAAATTCCATTGATGAGTTAGCTTTCCAAGAGCCAACACAGGACTTGATGGATCCTAATCATGTCAGTACTACAGTGTAGGGTCCAAACCACCATGAATCTATCTCTTCTACCAAGTGACTGGGAAACCAGATCTCCATAGCATGTGAATGCTCAGAAAGGAGTCGGCAAATTCCCATCCTCCTCTTCTCCGTGCTGTCCGTCACACTCACCTGCCAGCCTTAAATATGCCACATGCCTGCAGGCCTGGTCAAAACTCACTTGTCCTTTAGGCAGGGGCATGCCCCACCAGACCCCTAAGCCTTCCTTCAGAGCAACTCCCTAGCCGACACGCACCTTAATTACCATGCCTATGGTCTGCAAGGCTCAATGTGGGGCCGTTAGCTAAGGAGGATTCCTAAGACTTTCATGAGGTTCTCCTCCCACCAATTCAGCAGCACCAACTCCAGAGCTAGCATTTGGCAGGCACCCAGGTCATTCTTACTTTTTAGGTCTCGGATGAAGGAGATGGGCTTGATAGCATTACCACTGTTGGCAAAGGCCTGGACGATGTGGTTCTGCATGACGCACAGCATGCAAAAGCTCCCCTGGTGACCTGTTTATGAAGCAGTAGCAACATTAAGATAAGAACTTTAGACAGCATTTCCACCAACACCACTCTGGCAAGAGATATACAAGGGTAAAGCAGTCTGTGACAGGCTAGGGGGTCACAGAGATTCCAGACCAGACAGAGATTTGTGGACTGTCAGGAAAATATTTTTCTCTGATGGATGCCATTCCAGGGCCACAAGGCTTCACAGCTATAATTCTAACACTCTCGCACCACTATGTTCTTGTTTAATGCCAGTGACCTGTGTGACATCATTTTCGTATTTAATACGCACACACACACACACACACACACACAAAGCTTTTGCACTGAGCTATCTCTGGAATACTTTTATTTTGAGACAGGCCCTTGATAAATCTTTAAGTTGTGCAGGTTGGGCCCTAACTTGCCACCTCCCTGTTTCAGCCTTCCAGAATGCTGGGATTACAGATGTGAACTGCTAGCTGGCTCACTAGTATTCTTTACTTACACAATGAGTAAGTCTGACTTTGAACATCAAGTTTAGAAAAATATTATCTTTATAAGCCACAGTATTTTAGGGCTTTCTGATGGTCCCTCAGCGAGAACTTCTGCTCTATTCCATCTAGCAAAGCTCTTATTACTATTTAGCAAAGACTGGAAACTCTGTAAGGCAAAATCAGTCATAGGTAATATATAACAGGTGCCAGGTGTGGTGGTACAAGTGCATAATTCCAGCATCAGGAGGTGGAGGCAGGATCACTAGGAAGGAGTTTAAGGCCAGAGTGGGCTACGCAGTGAGTTCAAGGCCTTGCTTAAACAAGACTCGAAAGTGAGACCCTGTCTGAAAAAACAAAAAACAAGCTAGGCGTGGAGGTGCATGCCTGTGGTCCCAGTGCTCAGGAGGCTGAGGCAGGAGGAATGCTACAAGTTGAAGGCCAGCCTTTGGGCTACACAGTGAGTTAAAGTCCAGCTTGCATTACAGAATGAGAAAGACCCTGTATCAAGAACAAAAAACCAAACCCACCACCACCAAAAATATACATACATAGGGGTGCAGTACAAGCAAAGGCCATTGGCCCTAGTAGCTTCTGTATACAAAATAGCTGGTCCTCATGGGCATTAGATCAGAGATGTACAAAGAGTAACACCTGCTCAGCTCTACTGCATTTTAGGGGTGTCTATCAGTAAGATACTGGTGTAACAGTTCACCTCCCTCAATCCCATTCTCCATGTTCCTTCATCCAAGGTGATCACTAACCTGAGTCAGGCAATTATTATTCCCAGTCATGTATTTACTGTATTAATTCAGGCTGCGCAACCACAAATGCCGAAGGGCACTATGGCTGTGTGTTTCTAAGCTTGCTCTTGTACCATGCAGCTAGATGCCGTGCTCACTAGCAATCTGCTTTCTGAAAATCTGCAAGGACACAATTCTAATCCTTCCAGTCACACAGCTAGTGCATCTCACTGAACAAACAGGAGAGTCTGCAGCTCTATGCCTAATACCCAAAACTCATCAGCTGCTTCTGCTCTCTTCACGGACCTGAAGTTACTTAGTTATTCAGAGGCCGGAGTCCTAGGCTCTACCTGGCTGCACCTGTCCTCTGGGCCCACCCTGTGGATGGACTCTGGGGGTGCTGACTGTTAGAAATGTTTCTTGCTGCAGGCATTTTATTTTATTTTTTGGTATTGGAGATGAATCAAACTCATGCTGTTTTGCTCATCCTGGCCCTCTGCAGCAGGCATTTTAACATACATGCCAGATCTTATCTGTAGAACTGGGGTGACAGGGATGTGAAAGTTAATGCCAAACTGTTCCCAAAAGTAGTTACACCAGCTCCAACCAGGCCTATAAAAAGAATCTCAGTGCTTTATCCTGTCTGACATCTGTAATGTCACATGTCTGCGTTTTTATGATTAACCAAGTGTAAAATAGTATCCCACTGTGGTTTTCCCTGAAGACTACCAGGCTAAGCATTGCTTCGTGTGCTTCTTTGACCTTAAACCTTTCCTCTTCTGTAAAAGCCATTCCTAATTTTATCTATTTCTTTCTAACAAACTTGCCTTCTGTTAATTTAGCATCCTTCATATGCTTTTACTATCAATCCTTTGCTGATTACATGCCTCAGGTTTTGTCTCCCAGCTTGTAGGCGGTATTTAAATTTTCTTTAATCTTTTTTTTTCCTGAACAAAGGTTTTTCTTAATGCAGTTAAATGAGCAGACTCCACTTTTGAGTCTTATTTAAGCAAGTTCCCATCCCAAGATTGGGAAGGTATCTACCCACATTTGTTATACATGCAGTTGCACTTTTGATAGTGTTTTTCATCCGTTCTTTCATAAATGATGTGAAATAAGGAATAAAACCAAATTTTAATTAATTTTAGTTCCCTATAATAAAATGAAGGATCAAGTACATGTGAAAAACTGGTAAGTACCACTGTACTCCACATACATGTGGGTCTTTCTCTGGGCTCCTGCCTCTGTTCCACTGATTAAACATCTCTCTTGGATCTAATACTGTAACATTTTAATCTGTTACATTATAATTTATGTCTCTGTAGTTGGTAGAATGTATCCCTTCTCATAGTCATTTTTTTGTAAGTGTCTTAGAGAGGTAGGAGTTGGTGGGGAGGGCTGTAGTTCAGTGGCAGAGTGCTTGCTCACTGTTCAAGATAGAAAAATTCAACTAAGTTTTATATTCTGATGTTATACCTTGCCATGCTGCCAAATTTTTCTTGCTGAATCTGTTTTTTTTTTTTCCTCCATGACAGGTACTCACTATGTACCCCAGGCTGGCCTTGAACTCACTATACAGCTCAAGCCGGCCCCAAACTTTTGGTGATTCTCTTGCCTCAGTTGCGTGAGTGCTGGGCTTACAGATGTGCACCAGCACATCCAGCCTCAATTTCTACATTCTTTTGGTTTCTTAAGCAGAAATACAGTTTCAAATTACAATAATGTTATTCCATTCTATTCCAAAAGCCATGGCTCTGGCTAGGACTAATACAATCATAAAAGAAAATATAAGGATATCACACTTCACCATGGTTTAGAGTATGCTTCCAATACATTTTTAGAACAATGGCCTGATTTTTTTCTTTTTTTGATTTTTAGCAGAAATCTTCTGTCAGATTAAGGAAATGCTCTTTTACTCTGCTGAGAGTTTCATTTCTTTTCTTTTTTTTGGTACTGGGGATCGAACTCACAACCTCGCGCTTGCCAGGCAGGAGCTTACACTGCTGAGCTAAATTCCCGCCCTTAAAGAGTTCCATTTCTTTAAAATACACATTATGAGTTCCTTTAAAGAGGAAGGTATCTACTTTTAAGTAACCTTTCTCCTTTAAAGTCCCTTGATACTGTAGTTAATCACAAAGACAGCAAATCAGCACTCACTTTTGTAACACTCCCTTTGTGCTGAGCGCTATTCCAGTCACTGTACAGAACCCACTTGTGCCTCACAAGTCTGTGCGGAAGTTTTCAGTTTCTGTGCAGACCAGGGCCAGGAAGCACGAAGAGGCCCTGAAATGGGATGCAGACACAGGCAGCTCCAGGGCCGCCATGTGGAGTGCTACTCACACACCTGCGCTCCTAGAGTGAAGAGCTGCGCCTAGCATTTATAAAACTATTGCTGGCATTTGCCAGTGTTTTTCCTTAGTGCTGGAATTGGAACCCGTGTCTCTCGTGTAAGCTAGGCAAGCATTATACCACCAGGCTACACCTCCAGCCTTTGTCTAGAATGTTTATAACCAGTGCATGATAAGATTATACTTTTTCTTTTTAATAGCTTCAACTTTGCTATCCAAGAATCTCACAGAACCAGCTAGATAATATTCTCTTTTCCTATTACTAGAAGAATGTGTAAAGAACTGGCCAGCTATGTTCTTAAAAGCCCCCCCCACCAACTGACTGCCCAATGGTATGCTCTTAAAAGTTTCATAGAACTCACCTATAAAATCATCCTGGTGTGGCGGTATCTTCTATGCGGAGATTTTTTAAAGCCCTGTCCTACTTTCTTTACTAGTTAGAAGACTCAACACACTTGGTATTTTTTTTTTAACCAGGGATTAAACTCACAACCATGTGCTTATAAGGCAGGCACTTATGCTGCTGAACTAAATCCCCAGCCCCCTCTCCTCAGCTTTTGAGATAATTTATTTCACCCATTTTAATTTCTACCTGAAGGTATGTTTCACAATACACATATGACATGTCAATATAATAGTTACATAAAACAACTAGATTCTATCTTATCCCAGAAAGAATGGCCATCATCAAGAAATCAAATAAAAACAAATGCTGGTGAGTTTGCAGGGAAATAGAACTCTTTTTTACACTTTTTTTTTAATTATTATTTTTTTTTGTCTTTTTCCTTTTTATCGGTACCAGGGATTGAACTCACGACTGCCTGTTTGCAAGGCAGGCGCTTATGCCGCTGAGCTAAATCCCCAGCCCCTCTTTTTTACACTTTTGGTGGGAATCTAAACCAATATAACTACTATAGAAATCAGTAGGGAAATTTCTCAAAAAACTGAAACTAGAAATTCCATTTGACTGAGGCCCTTCCCTTCTACGTATCGTCCCCAAAATTAAAGACATCTGTTATGGTCTGGGTCTAGATATCCCTCCAAAGCCTTATGTGGTCATTGCTGGGACTTTCTCGGAGGTGGCTGGCTCTAACATGTGTGATGCTGGTATTAAGGGTGTGTGATTACTGAATCAGTCCACTGATTAAGTTTGACACTAACCTAACCAGCAGCCTAGATACAATATAAAAAGGGTAGAGAGATGATGTTCAATATAGTCTCTTGTTGTTCTGCTACATTCTGACCGCCATGAGCTGTTTTCCTCTGCCAACCTACTCTGCCTTGAAGCCAGCCACTTATAGACTAAAACCTCTATAAACTGTGAGCTAAATAAACCTTTCTTCCCTTAATTTTGGGTATTTTTTCTCAGCAATGAGAAAAGTAACTAAGACAACAACATATTAAAAAGATACATGCATGCCCATGTTGATAGCAGCACAATTCATAATAGCTAAATCTTAGAAGCAGCACATACATCCATGGACAGATGAAAGAATAAAGAAAGTGGTATTTACACACAATGGACTACTGTTTTGCCATAAAGATAAACTTGAATCATCTGTAGGAAAATGTACCTTCAGAGCATGTTAAGTGAAATAAATGAGATATATAAGCTTAACTTCCACATGGTTTCTTTTATGAGAAATACAAATTATAAATAAGGAGCAAAATAAAAGATAGATAATAGGAAGGAGTAGATCTTTCTCAAACAGGAAGAGATCAAGAGATAGAGGGATTCAGAAGGAAAAGGAAGAAAGGGAAAAAAGGAATTAGGATACATTATGCACATGTACCAACTCCAAGGAATGTAAACACTATGTACTGCAAACATGTATGACAAATTTAAGGTTTTTTTTTTTAAATTTCAAAAAAAAAAATGGGTGTACATATTGTGGAGATATTTTCTGAAAACCCCAGCTTTTGTGTGGGTAAGTACTTTCTTTTTTTGGTCTTTTTCGTTTTTACCAGTACCGGGGATCGAACTCACGACTGCTTGCTTGCAAGGCAGGTGCTTATGCCGCTGAGCTAAATCCCCAGCCCCCATGGGTAAGTACTTTCACAAAAGTTAAAAGATGAGGACCAGTGCCACGATAGGCACATTTTGAGTCCGGGTACATGCAATCAACCCCACTCCTAAACTATCACAATTCACATAGGACCAGCTGTGCTCCAGCAAAGAGGTTTCCAGTTCCACTGATTCCCATTACCTCCCCTCCTCTAGCTCCTGCCCCTACTCACAGCTCCTTGCGTGTTCCCGGGAGAGCAGGTAGTTGGCCAGTGGTGGCGTGTAGGTCAGGCACTGTACTGTGGCATTCAAGAAACAGGTGTTGCCCAGGTTGTGCAGCCCTGCGCCAACTCGGAAAACACGCTCCCACCTCAAAGACAGCTGCTCTGTGGGAAAGAGCACTTTCTGCGGTGCTGGGACGCCATCACTGCTGCTTCCAGAGAAGCGCTCACTGCCTAAAGGAGAGCAGGAGATCGGGAGGAAAGGGGCAAGTCAGGCCATGCACAGGAAGGTCATGGAGACATTCGGCCACATTTGCTGAGTGCACAATTAGCAAAAACACAGCATCCATTGGAGGGTAAATGGGTTGTTACTGACTAAAAGGCCCTAAGAAGCCCAAGTATAAATCCATTCATGCCAGGACATTCCAGACTGCACAGGACTAGAACTCAAGGGTCTTCTGGGGGAAGGGAAGAAAGAATTGGGCCCTGTCACTGCAGTGTACTGCACTCCTATGCAGTTCATCCCATTTCTCTATTTTTTTTTTTAATTTTGGTTTCTTGAGACAAGGTCTCACCATGTAGTCCAGGCTGGCCTTGAACTCACTATGTAGCTCAGGCTGGCCTCAAACTCTCACAAATCCTCTTGCCTCAACCTCCCAAGTATTGGCATGATAGGCATGTGGCACCACACAGAGGCCCTCTATTTCCAAACCCTAAGCAACAGTAGGGAGTGTGTTTTAAGGAACCTCATAGTACAGATTTCTTTCTTCCCAGCCCTGTATCAAGCCATCTATGACTAAAACCCTTTGGCCCAGTGTAAAAGCTACAATTCCCTGACCACATCCTGCTGCAGTTCTTTGGCTCATCCATTCAGTTAACACATACATGGCCTCTATACCAGTAGCCTATACACCTGTACCTTGTCTCTTGGCCTGTGGCTCATTTCCACTCTTAGGGCGACTGGCTCCCTCAGTCTTGGGGTTCAGCAACACATATTTGCTCTTCAAGGACTCCAGCTGGTAAGAGAAGCTCTTGCTGGCTGGCTCGAACTCAATCTTCTGTAAGAGGACCTTCTTGGCCGAGGCAGCCAGGAGCTTCCCCAGCTCTGAATCCTCGGCTGAGTCCTTGCGGCCAGGTTTTAGGGCCTCCTTCAACTTATCAACTATCGGCATTGTGCATGCCTGTGGGGACAAGAAGCAACACAAATCTATAGATAACCAAGTCTAGAAAGGAAAACATCCCTTTTGTCTGGTGGCCAGGGATGCCAGCTAACACAAAAGCTTCCCTGAGTCAGCCAAGTCCTCAGAGAGGAAGTGTGAGATAAGGAGCCTGCAGGCCTACAAGAGTTCAGGATTCCTCTCTGAAAAACAACAGTCCATGCAGAGAGAGTGCAGCGACAGGATGGGGACTCCACACCACTCCTGCAATGAGTGCCTCGTCTCTGATGATTTGAGTAACTGCATGTTGCCCTCGGTGCCATTTCCTTCATCAGGATAGCAGAGGTCGCAATGTCTGCTCAAATACATGGAACTGCTACTTTTCCTATACACTCTGGTGACTTACACACCTACACAGCCATGTAGTACAGAAATCAGCAGGCAGTTTAGATGGGCATGCACGTTTGTAGACATGTGCTATTCAACATGAAGGCCACAGGCCACACAAATGGCTACAGAGCACAAGAAATTAGGCTAGTCCTAACTGAAATGTGCCATAAAAGTAAAATACAAACCAGGCATGGTGGCACATGCCTGTAATCCTAGCACTTATGAAGTCAAGACAGGATAATCACCATGAGTTCGAGACAAGCCTAGGCTTCATAGTGAGTTTAAGGCCAGACTTAACTGTATAGAAAGACTCTATTTCAAAAACCTTTTGGTAAAATGTATCACCAGATGTTAAAGACTTAGTGTAAGAATGTGAAATATTTTAATAATTTTTCAATTGGTTACATGTTGAAATTACTGCATTATAGAATTAACTAGTCAGATGTAGCCCAAAACTCTACTCTAGAAACTCTTTTACCAGCTTATTAAATCATTCAAATTTATCATTATGGGTCATCTAATTCCATACACAGATTATTAAGTAACTTTTTCTACAAAATTTTCCTAGGGATAAAAATATATGTAAGTATATTGGGTTAAATAAAAACACTATGAGAGGGCTGGGGAGGGTGTAGCTCAGTGACAGAGTACCTACCTAACATGTGAGGCCTTGGTTTCATTTTCAAGGAAAAAAAATCAATTTCACAATTTATTTTTATTTTCCTAATGTGTGTGCTATAAAAATTTAAATTATGTCCATGGCTTCCATCATATGTTTATTGAACAGTGTATAACAAAATCTTTTTCTACAAGTAAAGGGTGAGCTGGGCATGCTTGCACAAGCCTGTAATGCTAGCACTTAGGAGACTAAGGCAGAAGGATTGGCACAAGGTCAAGGCCAACCTGGGCTACAAAGTGAGCTCAAGGCCAGCCTGAACTGCATAGCGCATGGCAAGACCTTGTCTTAAAAAGACAAACAATCAAACAAACAAAAAGATCCAGCTAGCTGAAAGGTGGCAGGAGGGGATTAGTCACCTGGCTGCACATTAGTCCCCCCCCAGAGAACTAACACTTTCAACACAGATACATAGAAAGTGTAACAAAGGGGAGATTACCCCATCACCTCTGACCACAACACCTGTAGCCACCATTTTCCCTTCTTACTCTCTACCTCGAACACTTCAGCCAAAGCTTAGGCTTAGGCTTAGGCCATGTGAGTCACGATTAGAAAATGTGCCTGAAGTTACTCACTCACATCAGACAAATGATGACTCTGCTAACTGGTGCCCAATCAGCAGGTCAGATGCATCCCAAAACTCTATTCTAGAACCTATCCTGCCAGCCTATTAAGTCATTCAAATTATCATTATGGGTTATCTAATTCCATACATGGATTAAATATCTTTTTCTACAAAAATTTCCCTAGAGATAAAAATGTAAGAAATTCATTTTTAAATAAAGTACAAGTTGACTGATGTGAGGAAATCAAAGCTTTTTTCCAATGAGATTAGCTAACACAGCCCAGCAAAGAACAATCACTACAGGTCACATACTGGCAACTCAGAGGAAACAAGACCACAGAAACCTCTCAACCTTACCTGAGGTATGCAAAAAGTGGCTTGCTGCTTCCCTCTGAAGCAAGGGACCAGGTTCTTAAGGAACTGATCTCTGCTCCAGCAAATCTCCTCTGGGTCCTGGAATTCACCTGCTCCTGGACTTCGGCCTGTTCAATCAGCGGGTGCCCCTAAGTGCAGTGTCCAGAATGGGTAGTTCACCTGTGGGAGGAGCATCGAGACCATCACCTGGAAAACTCTTGCAGGTGTTGCTGAAGACTCATCTCATGGGTGTGGTGCAGGAACTGTGACCTTCTGTAAGAAAAAAGTGCCAGTAAGGCTAAAGGAGTATCTCCAGCAGTGAGTTCAGTGCAAGTGCAAAGAACTCTGATAACAAGACACACATCAGTGCAATGTACATGGCATGAAAACTGTTCTCTGCTCTACCTCTTGACCCAAATGCCAGTAAGAAGGCCATAGAACAAAATGCTCCATATACCCACCAGACAAATGCAGTCTAATCTCACTTCCAAACAGTAAGTGATAGGCTTCTACTGTGAACACACAAACACAAATGTAAAGAGGACAGCAAAGTGTGCACAATGGCCCACTGCTTAGCTTCTACCTCCTTGGCCTAAGTGACCTTGCAGCCGGCCTCAAGCCTCTCACATCATCCATAAATAAAACCATTAATGCCCTCCCCCAAAATACACCGGAATGACCTCAGGATAAAGGACACACCTCCAGTTGTCTAAAAACCTTCCTCTAATGTCACTGGCTTTCTTGGTCAGGACTCACATCTCACACTAGACAGGTAAGAACGACCAACAGTCCACCAGTTCGAGTCCAGGTGCCATATCCCAAGAGGAAAAACAACACTTGGGAGATTTAGTTTCACCTGAGATAAGTAACAACCAGCTCTTCTGCAGAGTCAGAGATCTGGAACATGCATAATTTTTCCAGCTGTGACAGAAAGAGCAACGTCTACCATCTCCACCTGGAATCTTAAGGGATGGCCTAAAAATGATTATTTCTTTGAGATATATGAACCAAGAAAAGTGCTCCTGTAATCACCAGCAGACCCTCTGATTTGCACACATACTAATGCACACTTCACTCAGAAAGGATGCTTTATGACCCAGACTGGCTTATACTTATCAAGGTATGTTTACACCATCGAAAGTATTCAAACACAGCTTTCCTAAACCAGAAATCATTTAAAGCCCCCAATTCACTTTTCCAAGTTAAACTGCACTCAAGACTCAGTCAGCACGTGTTGGAAAGAGGGAGCCCAAGCCAGAAGGACCGAAGCTCTCTCGGAGCTTCTTTGAGGGGGGCCTCCAGGGCTCCGCAGAGCAGGGCATCCCGAGTGGGGCGGGTTAGGACAACACGCACTTCTCCTTTACATTCACTGCAGAAACCGAACTGTGTGGGCGCTGAGATCCTTCCTCCTCTCCTCTGTCTGAGGATACTATTCTGGCACCTGGGGCCGCAGACGGTAAGTCACACAACCCAACAAGAGCAACCTGCATCTTAAAACGCATACGCCCTGCCGGCGCTCTGTGTGGCCTTCTGCGACCGTGACCACGTGGTAGGGTCCCTTCCCCAGATCTCAGTGAAACGAGCCGCGTCTCCTCCGCTAGCTAGCAAACTAGGTAGCGAAGGCTCTCTTCCTGACTTTGACTGAGGCCATTCCAAAGTGAAACCCAGACCCCGCGTGAAGATGCTTTCGTAGGCAAAGAGTTGCCCAACGCGGACGCAGGTCGCCGCCTCTCCCCTGCCTTGCGTCCCTGCCTGGGGAGAGCTCTGCCCTCCATCCCCATCGGGGTGCGCGGGCGACGCGGGCGAAGGAGTCGGGGGCACCCACGGGTCACCTGGACCCCGCGGCCCAAGATCCTTCTCGGAAGCACCTCAGACTACTGCCTTAACAGCACATCTCCGAGTCTCCTCAAAGGCCACATCCCGGGGCGGTCAACGCTACCTCAGCGGGCAGCGCAGCTCCCTGCTCTGGGGCAGCCCCGACTCCTGTGAGGACGGCGCGGCCTCGCACCCTCCCGGGGCTCCGCACTCCGAGCTCCTCAAGAACGACGTATCCCTTTGCTTTCTATGGGATTCCCTCCGGACCCCGATGGACGCGCGCTCACTTCTCCCCCAAGTACTTCAGGCCCGGCAAAAGCCCCCGTGTTAACCCGCCCGGCCACGGGTTACCCTCGGCGGCCCCTCAGCGGCCAGCAGCAGGACGGCGTAGCATAGTCGTATCCCCAGCCCAGGCCCTCAAGCGCACCATCCGGGCCTCCGACGCCTCACACACACGTGTCCCGGCGACGCTTAAAGGAGCCGCGCCCTACCACTGCACTGCGCCACCGCGGAGAGGTCCGGACAGCTTTAAGAGGCGGAGCTAGTTTAGGCTAGCTCTATGGATCCGCCCATGTCCGCTTTACGCGCGCTTACGTCACCTCCGTGTCCCGAGGCCCCGGCAGCCCACGCGATGACGCAGGCGCGCAGAGTCAAGCATGCTCCGCCCCCTTGGCTGCAAAGCCAAGGGAGCCGCACTTCCGGGGCGGCCGGGTGTCTTGCTTGTGGTGGCAGCACTAAGCATAAGTTCGGAGCATGCCGAGGCAGGCGAGCGCTTCCCCCTTCCCTCCGTGAGGGTGCGCACAGGCCCAGCCACAGCTTGGGGACTCACGGGAGCTCTCGCCGCCTCCCTGGCCGCTCAGAGGCACACGGCGCCCGGTCCTCAGCTCTGGAATTTGTGTCATTGGCAAACGAAACATCTCAGCTCGGAGAGGCAGCCTGTTCCGTGCAAGTTTAGGGGTACCCGGGGAGGCGGGTCTGGGGAGGAAAGGATCAGGCACTTTTGGCTGTCGACCTTCCAAATCCTCGGAGGCCTCTGTGCATCTCTCCAGCCCCACTGGCCTCTCCCTTTTGGTTTTATCCTACACGACTCTACGTGAAGGTCTTCGTTGAGAGGTTAGATATTTGCAGACATACCGCCAAAATTCCCTTGCCTCAAAGCAGCTTCATGGGCTTCTTCTCTACGGCCCCATTCCCCAAGGAAGTGGACAGGGTTTCCTGGCCTGACTTCAGGAACTCCTTGGGAATCACGGGCGAGAATAAACTATTTTCTCCAAAAGACAGAACACTGTCGCATCTGCTGTCTTGACAGAAAGCAGGAAGGTGAGTGGGAGTAAGGCGAGATCACAGGTGTGAGGAAAAGAAGAAAAAAGTACAACAGGACAGATTTATTTCAGAACAAACCTGAGAGGGACTTCACTGGCGCTAGAAACCAGGCCGGCCACTCTGGTGGGGTCTTTTACAGGGTAATGGGGAGGAGGAGTTAAGTGAAAGAGGCTTGTGACTACTGCCAGGAACGAAGCTTGAGAGAGAGAGCACAGTAATAGTGATTGCCCAGGGATGAGGCTCGGGGAAAACAGGGAGTTGTGACTACTGTCAGCAGCGGGGCTGCTAATGTTTTGAGCCAGCGGGGTGGGGATGGTTCAGAGAGGTATCTGATCAGGATGGTGGCAGTTGTATTCCTTTAGTAGACAACCAAAAGGTGCTTTCATGTCCTTCCTGTAGTTCAGGGGTGAAGATGGACAGAGAACAGATAAAACAGAAATAGGATTCACCTTGTGTCTGCTATTGGGTGACTGTTTTTGTTCTGTTTTGAGACAGAAGCCTTGCCTGTATCCCAGGCTGGCCTTGAACACACAGTGATCCTCTTGCCTCAGCCTCCCAAGTGCTAGGATTACAGAGGTGCACCACCATGCCTGGCTAGTTTATTTGTTTCTTTCTTTCTTTTTCAAAAAGAGACCAAACCACTTAACCTGAGATTAAGACTGTCTTATCTGCGAGAACACTCCATTAACAGATTTAGTTTATATAGCAGCATAATTTGTGAAAAAAAAAAAAGATTTAGTTTGAGGTTTTTCTTGTTATTTTTTGTCTTTTTGAGACAGGGTTTCACTATGCAGTTCAGGCTGGCCTTGAACTTGCAGTGATCCTCCTGCCTCAGCCTCCTGAGTGCTGGGATTATGTACAGAACCACACCCCACTTGGGGTTCATTCTTGGTCTCCAGACCACTTTTTCTGTCGTGATCAAAGTGTTCCGGGCCACGAGGCTACGATTCAAAGGCAACTCTTTACTGCTCCATGTCTTATGTAATGATGATTTTGCTGTAATCAGCAGGTTGCTTTGGATGCTTAATTTACCCAGACCTAGATTTCCTCCTGTGGGAAAAAAAGGTGATCCATAGCATATCTTTGGTTCTTTTAATAACAAAGTCAGCAACATTTGCCACTATTGAGCTCATGTTTAGTGCCAGATGTTAAGGTGGCTGCTAATCATAGCAACCTCAGAAAAAGGTAACGCTTTACCCATTTTACGGGTGAGAAAACTGAGTATGCAAGATCCCACCAAGCATGTGGTGAAGTGAGGGTTTGTACCTGGTCTGCCCGCTTCAGGTTCACTCTTAATGAGATGACCAAGAGTTGCCTAAATGGCCTGCATAACTTGACAGTGTAATCTGAAACCTGGAAGTTGTCAAGAGCCTTTGTCTGCCCACATGCATATCCTTCTCTTTCAGATTCCCTTGTGGAGGCCCTCAGAATTTTCTCAAGGTCTTGTGTTTAGGTGAGCCATGGAAGTCTGCTAAGGTGCCCAACTTCAAAGGTCACCAGAGAAATACAAATGAAGATCACACTGAGGCACCTTTTACACCCACTAAAATGGCAAAAAATAACTAAATATTGCAGAGAGTGAGGAGCAGCTGGGAACCTCCATGCTGCTTCTGGGAGTATAAAACGATATAAATATTTTGGAAAATAACATGAATGCTTCTTTGAGGTCAAACTAACAGCTACCCTTGACCCCCTTGGTTGCTATACCTTCTGTTACTATGATCTTCAGGTCAGACCGTCTTCCCTCTGCAGGCCCTGTCTGTGAAGTCAAAAGTCCAGGGACTGCCTGCTCGCTGGAAACTGCCCCTGAATGTCTCATGAGCACCTCTAACTTACCATGTCAACGGATGGGTGGTGTTGCCCTGTCCTCCCAAAGTGTGCCTCTCTCTGTCCTGTTGCCCACTTCTACTGGTTTGCCAGTACGCAGACCAAATCTTTCCCCCTCACAGCTGCTTCTGTGTCCCAGCAGGGCTGCCACAGTTGGCTCTACCGAGCTTGTTGCGAACTGGTTTCCAGGCAGCCCAGCCACAGTGATACTGTCAGGGCCGGGGGGCAGGTGAAGGGGCCTCCCTCTCACTGGGTCTCTGCCTCGTGGTCAGCGGAGATTCCAGCTCTTCTAGGTCCCCTCCCTTGACTCCTGTAACATGGCCTCCAGCCTCTGTCCCACCAATCTGGAGGTGCTTTGGTCTCAGTTGCACACTTCTAGCTGGCATCTCAGGGAGTTTGTCCCATCAGGTTGTAACCACTCCCTGCACTCCTTTCCTATTTTAAAAGTCATACACAGTGGTTCTGGTGATCACCTGTATGGCCTGCATCCTGGGGGCCTCTGCCCACCCGTGTAAATCAGTCTACAGACCTCTGAAATCCTCCCGTGCAGTTGCCCAAGCAAAGACCCTCTCTTGCTGTCTTTCCTGTTACTGGGATAGCCAGGTGTATGGCTCAAACTGACAAATAGATGGCATATTAAGGAGCCAAACCTGGACACGTTGCTCATCTTAATTGAAACTTCCCTGGCTTCTGATGCTGACCGGGACACTGAGCTTCATGGCATGGACTCTAATGGTCTTTGGGGCCTGGGCCTTACTGGCCAATTTGTCTTAGTACCAGCCACTTCTGTTCTGGAACCTTTAGCAGGGCCCAATCCAAAGCCTCAGTACCCATCTCCAGTCAGGCTATTTCCACTTCAGACTCAAGCCTGACCTTTGGCCTAGAATTCCCCTTTCTACATGTCCTGCAGTCCTTCTTTAGTCACCTCCTCCTCTGAGAAGTCTTCCTGGATTTCCTCCATCCTTGCTGTTACATTGAATTGTTCTGTGGACTCCGCCTTTCTCCTCATCATACCAAAGAGCCAAGACAATGTTCCATTCATCTGAATGTCCCTGGGTCCAGCCCATAGCAGGTACACCATGGATAAGTGTTTATGGAAGAGAAGCAAATGAAAAATAAAATGTTTGAGATAAGACAATCGAAAAATCTTCAATCCTAAAAGAGAAAATTGGGGGAAACATTGATGATGAAGGGAAAAAAAAACTATCCAAAATTAACCACATTGAAAGTTACTTAAAGAAGAATTTATACCATCAGAGTAGTAATACCGTCTCCCAGTGACTGCTCCCTGCCTTGGGGCTTGAGGCACCTTAGACCCGTGGATGATGGTAGATGTGTACTAATTCCTGGAGAGGCCCAGGCCACGTTTCTGATGGTAAATTAATAACTTCCCTTTGTACCTCCAGTCAGGAGCTTGGCTTCCTCTGAGCTGCTCATGTTGGGCACGCCCAATCCAGACAGTTTGCTGGAACCTGCCCAGTAACTTCCAGTCCCTGATCTGGCTGAACCCTTTGAGGAAAGGTCCTGTGGTGGGGCTGTTGGATCCCCTCCCATCAGTATGCACATTTCCACAGATAGGTTCAGTGGTTTGGCCAAAAACCAGCACACAGGCCTTGCCTTGCATGCAGGGTTAGGGTTGCATTTGCCTACCTCCTCCTCCATCACTCATAGTATGTTTTCAGTTTCTGAAGAGACCCCCTGCAAGCGCTGCTGGCACCTGTCCGCTACCGTCCCCTGCCCCTGCCCAGCTGCTCAGGAGCTGTCCCAAGGTGCATTAACCCTGCCTGGGTTTTTTCAGAGGTGATCCTGCCGTTGTTCCCATCGTGGCTCACCCCTTTTCATTCACCAGGTCCCTCATACTCACTTGCAAACAGCGCTTGCTGGGTTTTGCAAATTGTCCTTGCAGGTGAGTTTGGGTTCGTCAGGTTCCTTTGGTCTGTGTTTCCCTGGTTACACTTTGTGACAGCATTAATTTGTCCTGATGTGTTAGTCTGCTTTTGCAAGCACTTGGCCGTCTGTGTTTGTCTCTAGGACTACAGTATAGTGACTTTTCAGGAGTATTCAAGGTCCTGGATTTTGTCCGCATCCTGACCATCCCGGCAGTGCATGCACTGGCCGATTAGATTTCTTCCTGCCTTGTCTCGGAATGTCAGAGTGAGCTGGATAGAGGCAGGGGCTATCAAGGTAAGATGACCTAATAGTGGAGTCAGGTGTAACCTAAAGCTGACAGCTGGTGTCAGAAAAAGAGAGAGAGGACACCAAGAAGGGAAACCATGTGAAGACAGGCAGCACTGGACCCTGCTGCAAGCTGAGGAATGGCCACGGTCACCAAAAGCAGGAAACGAACACCCTACCCTAGAATCTTCAGAGGGAGCACAAGCTGTTACACTTTGAGATAACACTTCTGGCCTCCAGAACTTTGTTTTCTATTTTTTTGAGGTCAAGTTTCACCACGTAACCCTAGCTAACCTCCAACTTGTGATCCTTTTGCCTCAACCTTCCAAGTGCTGGGATCCCTGGCATGTGCCAGCATACCTAGCATCTCATTTTTAAGCTATTGGGCCTGTGGCCATCCCTTTAGCAACCACAGGAAACGGATCCGGTCCAGACTCATGGGTCAATCGGTTGAAGGGATAAAGGTGGGGGTGGAGTGAAATGAGGGCTTCTGAAGGCTGTCACCAGGACCTTGCAAGGGGAGGTTTTCTTGAGGCCCCTGAACAGCCACACCTAACAGGAAAGCTGGACACCATGCCAACAGTCACTTGTTCACTCGCAAAGTGTGAGGAAAGCCTGCCCTGCATAGAGCAGCAGGCTCCTGGGTCCCTCATCTGCTGCTCAGACCAAACTGCATGCTTTGGATGTGGCTGATGGTCCCATCTGTTCAGCAGTGCAGGGCTTGAATGAGATCTGCCCATCTGCATTGTTCCAGCAGCCTGGCTAAGGTAAAAGATGGGGGCTGGGGTGACCCGTGTGCTTAGGGAAAGTGGAGGGAGGCCCTTACACCACCGTTCCGTTACTGCTGCTAACAGTAGCTGGCACACACCTGTAATCCCAGCCCTCTGGGATGCTCAGGCAGGAGCGTCTCAAGTTCCAGCCCAGCTTGGGCAAATTTGGGACTTTGCAAGATCTTGCCTCACAATTAAAAAATAAAGGGGTGAGAGTGTAACTCCTTGTGAAGGCACTGAGTCTGGGAAAATAATAAAGAACTTTCTCTGCTGCCCAACAGCTTTCTCATAACTTTTCCATCCTGTCTAATTTCGAACAAAACAAAAACACAAAACCCCTAAATGGTAGGTAGCTAGGCCCAAAGAGCACAGGCCACTGGCAGGCAGTGGCCAGGAGGGGGCGCCACATGAAAACCTCACAGGAGGTCTTGCCATAGAGACTGCTGACATGCTTCGAGAAAGGCAGGACATAGTTTATGTGTTAGTAATCTGTATTTATGTAGTTAGTGTTAGTAATCTGTATTTATGTAGTAAATCTAATTTTAATACAGTGCACCTTCCACCAGTGGTTGGAGATACCAACCTCAGTCATTGGGGGCTCCTTGCCTGCTTGGATTGGGTAAATGAACCCTTGGGCTGATCCAGTCTGCAGGGTCCCCCAGGCTGTCAGTTGTTTGCAGGGGAAGCCCCTAGACTCCTAAGCCTGGGGACACGTAGCAGCCCCTCAGACCTTGCCACCCCAGCAGCTTGTGCTCAGGTTGCAGGACCCTTCCCTTAGTGGGTTTGGCAGGACTTCTTTCTACATGGGGCTTGGCTTCCCCTAGGCACACACTCCCAGGCACACACTTGCACATATCTGCATGGTATTCACACCTTTCATGCACTCATTTTCTTTCACACACCCAGGTGATACGCCTCCATCCCACACTGATACTTTCAGAGCTCTCTTGCCTGCTCTTGCACCCCTACCCAGCCTTGTCACTGTGGCCTCTGGCCATGCTGCCACCCTCCTGCCAGGGCCTTCACCTTAGGACCCTTTGGCCTGATCTGCCTCTTCTCTACACTTCTGCACTCTCCTGCTCTTTCTCCCAGCAGGACCTGAAGGTGCTGTGGGAAGTGCTTGCCAGGCAGCTCCAGCCAGAGCCCAGGAGCCTCTTCTCTTCCCTCTGGGGAAGATCCAAGGCTCTGGCACACAGTGCCCTCTTTGTCCTCCTAAGGTGACAACCCTTCACATGACCCCGTGGCACCAAGCAGTAGGAGGTCTTGGCTAGCAAGGATGCAGGTTGATGGCATGCAGGGAATGATCAGAGTCAAGTCTGCATAATTAAGGTGAAGACCGATGCGCCATGAAGACGGGGAGCTGACTGTGGGAAGAACAAGGAATGAATTTCTGAGGGGAGGGAGCAGCATGGGCAGAGGACTCCAGGTGGACCTGAGTCCAGAAGAGGTGGCCACCAGAAGGGGTGCTGACTGCAGAGCCCAGGGGGAGAGGCCAGGCTGGCTGTGTGGGAGGCCGAAGCCGGGACCATGCACCCAGTGGGCAGGGCAACTGGGTCACCACAGGTTGCCCTGCCCTGTGGGGTTCCCCAGATCCCTTCCCACATGTGTTGATGGTTCACATGTCATGATTTCTAATGTGATTTATTTTCTTACTGTAAAATAAACTGACCTTGTTACTTTGAATTTACACCCTGGAAGTTTCCTGAATGCTGTAAATTGTCATCTGGCCTAGCAAAGGGGGCTTCTGGGAATCCTCTGTTAGGAGAAGTGTAGAAAGGGTAAGTTGAAAACATTCTGCTCCTCACACATTGCTGGTGGGAATGTAAAGAGGGCTGCCGCTGTGGAAAGGTGGTTCCTCAAAACACTAAACGCAAAACTACCATAGATATACTCAGCTGAAAGCAGGGGGAAGGCAGACATTTGCACCCCAGGGTCCTCAGTGTGGTGCTGTTAACAGGTCGGGGGACCTGCAAGAGTCAGGGCCTGTGGGGCCAGCACTGGCCTTTGTGCTTTTTAGCTTCCTGACTGGCCATGTGACCTCTCCTCAAGCACACACCCACTAGGATGCCCTCCGCCATGACAGGATGCAGCCCAAGGGGGCCCTCACCAGAGGCCAGATCAGTGGAGCTGCCTGGTGGACTTTGAGCTTCCCAAACTGTGTGTTTGCACACTGATTTAAAATTGCCAACAAGACTTGCATAATTGTTGAAACTGGATCATGGACACATGGGATTGGTTTTACCATTCTCTGTATTTGTGTATATTTTTGAAGATTTCCATACTAAGAAATTGTTTTTCTTTTTTCAATGTCACATTTGACCTAAATACATAAATGAGTAACATGGGCAGCAAGCATCTAAGGTGCGGTTTGCAGGATGGAAATGTGGCTTGTGGGCTGAGATGAACCGCAAATGCTAGGGAGAGTCCCCCAAGTGCCCCAAAAGTCTTTGTGCTATTATCATAATATGTTACGGCTGCTTCCCCCTAGTATTTCACCATGTGGAAAAAAACCCAATCCAAATATTTCTGCAATGGATGATGTTAAGTGGGCAGAATTTAATGTCTTACAGCCCAGACATTGGTACAAACTTGGGTTCCATGCTTTACTTCAAAAAAGTTGTTCCTGCTTTTCAGGTGGTAGCTATACAAAATGAAAATTCTTCCAGCTGTCCCCAATTCTGCATGTAGGCTGGAGAGTAGGCAACTATTCAATTTCTCATGAAAATTACATTTTTCATATGTTGAAATAGTATGAGACATTTGGTTAGAATTTAAGATGTGATGTGCCCATCTTTCCCACAGGAGATGGAATGAAATGAGGGGCAGGGAGAAATGTGTAGGTTGAAGAGATTTGAGATACATTAACTATATTTGCCAGTTTTCTGTTACTATGACAAAATATCCAGAGTAGGTAATTTATAAAGAGAAGAGATTCATGCTCATAGTTTGGGAGGCTGAAAGCCCAAGTCGGGCAGCTCCACTGATCTGGCCTCTGGTGAGGGCCCCCTTGGGCTGCATCCTGTCATGGAGGAGGACATCCTAGTGGGTGTGTGCTTGAGGAGAGGTCACGTGGCCAGTCAGGAAGCCAGAAAGCACAAAGGCCAGTGCTGACCCCACAGGCCCTGCCTCTTGCAGGTCCCCCGACCTGTTAACAGGAGCACACTGAAGACCCTGCAGGACACAGGCCTTATCCACACCATAGCATGGGTCATTTGCAACTGCTGGGTCACATGTGGATCTGATTCTAAGCAACACACCATAAAAGCATTTATTAAAAAAAAAAAGCATTTATGGGACAGAGATGTCAGAATACTGACTAGGTACCTGATGACGTTAATAAAATCTAAGTACACTTTTAAAGCATGCTACAGGCATTTCTGGAATGTTTTTAAAATGTTAGTTTTCAGACATAGGTACTAAGATATTTAAAATGAAATCAGGACTTTTTTTGCCAGCTCCAGCAGGTGGGTGTGGACACCGGAGGAGGCGGGCAGGGAGAGGCTCACTGGCTTTGCCTAAGTTTGTGCCAGTGAAGGAAGGGGACAACTTGTGTCCTCCTGGCTCTGTGCCCACTTAAAACCATGTTCCCAGCTGGGTACAGTAGTACACACCTGTGATCTCAGCACACTAGGAGGCTGAGGCAGGAGGACTGCAAGTTCAAATTCAGCCTGGGCAACTTACAAGATTTGCAAAACTAAAAAAGGACAAGAGACTGGCCCAGTGTGAAGGGCCTGGGTTTAATCCCCAGTACTGAAAAAAGAAAGAAAACTATGTTCCCTCTTGTCTGGCCCACCACTGCCACCTCCCACATCATCCTCTCAAAGCCCCCAGGTCTTTTGCCCTTGGGCACAGAGGGAGCCCCTTCCCTTGGACGGGACAGGCTCTTGCTGGTGCTTGGTCCTCATTCTGGAGCTAAAAAGCAGCAGCTGTGAACACTGGAGACGGCCACAGAGACAGAGCAAGGCTTCCGTTTGATAATACTGTTTATTGTCCATTGACGGAGCAATCACTCAAAAATGATACAAAGCATCAGAGACATGCGCAGTCTGCTTGTTGATTTTCAACAACTCTCATGTGTTCCCAGCTCGGGCGGGGGTCTCAGACTTCATATTCCAGCATGAACACATTGCTACCCCCACAGCAACAACAACAAAATCCAAACAAAAACAGACAGAATCAACAAAGCTTTAAATTATGGCGGAGAGTCCAATATTCCTTAATACTTATCAAGCAAAGATTTTTAAAACAACTACAATGTAAACTTCATTTTTAAATATTTTGAGTTGCTTGCATGATGAGAAGAATAGAGGGAGAAAAAGAGTGGTGCTTAGGATAGAACACATAAATTAAACAAGGCCAGATGGAGATACTTCTCACACTATGCGTGTGGCAGTTCTTTACTGTGAAGGTGTTTGAGTGGCCCGTCCTCTCAGCTGCCACTGGCACTTCCTCTTGATAGGTCTTTGTTGTCTCCTGCTGCTCAGCCTGGTTAGAAAGCCAGTGTGTGCAGACTGAATATAAAGGCCACCTTTTAGAACCAAACCACTCAGAGGTTCTTTCCTTTGTAATAATTTGAACCCGAGAACAAAAAATGGGAGGCAGGAAAAGCAAAGATAGTCAAGGAACCAAAGAAAAGATTAGAAGGGATCCACTGTCACAGGCCAGCTACCACGCCACGCCTTCCACTCTGGGTCAGATGCTTCCTTGATGCAGTAACCGTGTCTCGAAAGTGCAAGTCTAACAGCTATCAAGGGTAATAAAAAACACAGCACAGGAATGATCACAGCGGATGTCAAAGATAAACCAAAACATTTCAGGAGTCAGCAGAAACAGGAGCAAATGTTACATATGATATCACCATACAGGAAGCATACAGGGCAGGGTGCTATATTGATGGGGCGGGGGTCTGGTGGTGGTGTATATACTGAAATCACATGGACTGGTCCATTATGACATCTCACCAACTTTCTATCACTGTACAGCATGAAAGTGCCCTCAGGGCAGGAGTTGATTCCTGGATAGTCTCCCAGTTTGTCCTGGAAAGGGAAGTCATCACATTCTGTGCTGACCAGGTCCCAGAGGGCATAGGGGCTGCGTGCCACTCGGGGGTCAGGAGTCTTCAGTTTTTTGCAGGATAAAACAGGCTTAGAAGATGGCGACTTGGGAAGCATTTTGCAGAAGGGCCACTCCTGGCTGTCAGATTTCTTGCATTGTTTGCACACATACATGTGTTTACATAGTGTGTGTGTCTGTGTGCATGTGTGTGTTTGTGTTCAGAGAAGCCTATCTTTACAACATTGGTAAGAGGAGAAACGAGATTCTCTGTGTTGGTACTGGGGAAGTTCTGCATGTGTGAACTCCCATGGTATTGGCATCAGAAAACTATTTTCCTGGAATAGGTAGGTTCCCTAGTTCCCTGTGTCTTTAAATGGGTAATCTTTGTGACGTAAGAAACAGAAGCGCATCTTGGCAAACCTGCAGCTTGCGTTCACACATTATCTAAGAATTAATCTTTAGAAAACTGAGATGCCTCTTAAAACAGGCTACAGCATCCTAGAGGCCAGAAAGAACTCAAAAGTGTCACGCAAGCTGCTCACCTCCCTGGGTGAGGCTTCATACACTTAGCTAATGTCACTTGCAGAAATCCACAACAAAATAGTGACCGTCAGCCTTGGAGGGAGACTTCATTAAGCCTGTAGGGCACAGCAAAACCAGCATCTACATCCTCAGTTTGTGCAAACAGGGAACACAGCCAGCCAAGCCGCACGACGCTTGGGGAAAGCAAAGCTCTGTGGCTCAATCCAGCTCCCCGATGTCGGGTGGGGAGGAGGCAGGAGCAACTGAAGTTTGGGGGTGAACTACGAGGGCAACTGAGCAACCTCCCTTCCCAGACACCTGTCCTGCAGGAAACCACACAGACACCCAGAAGGAGCTGGGGGCTATGGGAGTGGGGAGCGCAGAGACTTGGCTGAAGCTGAAATCTGGCTCAGCAGCGGTGTCTTCGCTGCACATCTGTGTGGGTCCCGGAGGAGGCTCCTACTGGCATTTTGTAGATTCGTAAGACTGAGTGGGACTTCTCTAAGAATGAGCCCCTGGGTCCAGGGCTGCTTCTGGACCTGAAGGAGTCCACAGTGGGCTCAGGGGAGATGAGTGGCACTTGCAAAGGGCAGGGACTGCCAACCTAAGCCAGAGAGGTGCTGCTGCAGAAAGTGAGGGACACGCCCCTCTCAGGATGAAGAGGACCTGGTAGGCCTGCTACGCAGTCTTACAATGACCCTCAAACGTTTCTGCAAAATGCTCATTTCTAGGCTCTGCCCCAACCAGACGACGGAGACCCTAAATGCTGCCCGCCCAGCCTCTGGGATGGTGTCAAGGAGGCCTGGGCAGGAGTCTGAATGTCCCACCCCTGCCCACACCAGGATCAAAGACTGAGACACTTGGTGCCCGGCTGGTGGAGGGAAGGGTACAGGGCATCTGGGCCCACTGCTCCCTCCAGCCCACAACCATGTTTACAAGGACAATGGGGAGGGGCAGAATCACACTGATGTGACCCATTTGGATGACGGTTTTATTCATGCTGTTTCCAGGAAGGGATGTCAGAGCTGGACCAGTCTAAACTCTTAGAGGCTTCTCAGTTGGCCACAGCAGTGCTGTCAGCCTCTTATGGGTCCTCGATGTCAAGAAACTCCTGCTTGGGGGGTGCCGCCCCACGGTACCATGCACAGGAGCCGTCGCTTCTCTTGATACAGGCGAAAAACTTGGCCTGGTGCCCATTGATACTTTTTTCTGTGACCCAGTCCATCCAGAGGCACTCATCCGGGGAGGAGATGTAGCATGGGATCATGGGGCAGCGCGTGATCTGGGGACAAATAGGCAGATTTAGCCTAGGACCAAGGAATGGGCAGGGGCCAGGCTGCTCAGGGTACATTTCCGGGACCCAGATGTGTCAGCATTCAGGAAGGCAGTGTTGCCTCAAAACTTCCATATAGTGGTAGGCAGGTGCCCAGGTGGGTGAGGGCCAGGGAAGTCTGTACACCTGCCCACCTGTGTACCTAACCCAGCTGTGCACCTACCTGCCCGTGCAGTGGCCCACCTGTGCAGCCCCTGATCTACCTTCTCTAACCATAAGATGATTTTATTTTAGCCGACCTTTCTAGAGGTACAAGAACAAGAGTGACTACAGAGTCAGGCTTGGTTAAGCATGCCTGGAATCCAAGCAGTCTGGGAGACGAGGGCAGGAGGAGCATCCCAAGTTTAAGCCAAGCCTGGGGAATTCAGCAACTTAGTGAGATACTGTGTCAAAATGAAAAGTAAAAAGATCTGGGGTTCAGTGTGGAGAGTCCACATTCAATCCCTGTTACCCCCATACACAAATACATATACATACACAAAGAATGACAACGATCTGACATTTTCTGGAAACAGACTTCAGCTGACTAAGAAGGTCTGGACCTTATCCTCAAGCACAAGGTCTGAGGTGACAGACAGCTAGTATTTTAGCAGAGGACTTGTGGCTATAGGAGGCGATCCTTTTGCAGACATTAATCAAAGAAGAGCTTGCTTCTGATGTCACACTAGGCAATGGAGGAGTTGTGGGTGGCACGCATGGGCATCATGAGCTTGGAATTCACATTTTGCATGAGCACAGGATGGGGAGCACTGGCTAGAATGGGAGGAGCCTTATGCAGCTCTGGCTGGCATGGGACAGAGCTTGGCTGGAAATTTCTGGTCACTCCTGGCAACGTGGAGGGATGCTGGGTGCCCAGCAGTGCTTCCTGCCTCAGGACCAATGGCAAAGTGTTGGAGATGACACACTCCCAGCCTGGGAGCCCTGCGGGAGACCTAGCCCTCCTCAGCTGCATCCAAGTGTCTGTAGCACTACAGCTGTTTACACACCACATCTGGGCAGGTTCTGAGGAGAGGTGGATGTGTGCAGTGTTCTCAACATACAGAGAGCCCCACAGTCAGAGTCCCACGTGTGCAACTGTCAGTGATGCTGGAAAAAGCGTTATGCCTGGGGTGCTCTCTCACAAGCACACAAAGGTTTACCCTTGTTCCTTTATAGTAAAATACTCACTGGTGCACACTTTCCTACAGAACTCCTTCCCAAGAAAGCTGCTCTTCCTAGAAGCCCCACAGCTGATCAGTGTACTGGCCCCAAGTTCCTTTACTTTCCAAATACCCCTTGCAGGGCTCTCTGAGGACCAGGGGACCGAAGGCTCTGTCCTCAGCCAGGCAGCCTCCCTGCTGAGGAGTCTACTTCACAATCAGGGTCCAGTAGACAAGAGGCCCCCCATGAAGGGAGGGACCCACAGCCCAACTGCCCCCTCGAAGCCACAGCAGTAGGTGTGCTCACCTTGCATTCACAGCCCATCTGGTACCTGTGGTTCAGGCTCTTCTTCTGGGTGGTACTCAGGGTGTCCCAGGGCACAATGAAGTCACAGAGGGTGATGTGCATCTTGCCATCCCCCTCGGCCTTTCCTGTGAAGACACAAGATTCTCCACATTCAGGCTGAGTGCCGAGTTCCCATCCTCTGCCCACCTCTGACATTTAGACAGGACTCAGGTGCTGAAATTTAGTTCTAACCATACCTAGGTTGTAGTATATTTTGAAATAAATGTATGCTTACTATAGAAAAATTAGAAAATGCAAAAAATCAGCTGGGCGTGGGGTACACACCTGTAATCCAAGCACTCTGGGAAGCTGAGGCAAGAGGACTGAAACAAAGTTCAAGCCCAGCCTAGGCAGTTTAGCAAGATCCTGTCTCAGAAAAAAAGCCAACAATGCAGTTTAGTGTGAAGGCCCGGGGTTCAGTTCCCAGTACTGAAAAAAAAAAATTAAAGAGTTTCCTTATCTTTGTAATCTATTCTCTTGCTTTTGGTTTTTGCTATCTCTATGTTTTGGTTTTTTTGTTTGTTTTGTCTTTCTGAGACAGGGTCTCCATACGCAGTTCAGGCTGGCCTTGAGCTCACTTTATAGCCCAGGCTGGTCTCAAACTCACAGCAATCCTCCTGTCTCAGCTTCCTGAGTGCTGCGATTATAGGCATGTGCCACTACGCCTGGCTTTATGACTTACTGATACAGGGTCTCACTATGCAGTTTATACTGGCCTGGAACTCACTGCGTAGCCCAGGCTGGCCTTGAACTTGCAATGATTCCTCTGGCTCAGCCTCCTGAGTGCTGGGATTCAGGTATGAGCCACCACGCCCTGCTACTATCTGTATTTTCACAGGCACATTCACACACAAAAGATCATGTGGCATGTGGATCATGCTGTTTCCTATTTTTCACCAAATAATATTGAGTTACAGGACTCCTCCCATTTGATGTTGACCTGCAATCCTGCACTTAACACTTCCACATGGAAGTGTTTTAATCAGTAACGTTCCAAATTCCCTCCGCCGGGCACAAGGAGGCGCTGTTCCTTGCGCTTCGGAGTCCTGAGTCTGCTCCCTTCCTCCTTGGGTGAAGACAGCATACTGCTGACAGCCTCAGCGTTGGCCAGGCAAGAGAAAAAGAATGAACAAGCACATTGCAGTCAGTGATGGGGTCTAAGAGTGTAAAACTGGTTCTTCCTGCTACCCTGGCACCTTGTGAAGGGGCACAGACACCCGGGGAGGAGTGCCAGAGTCTGGTGCATCCCTGGGAGGCACTGAGGCCCTGGCCATACCCTGATGCTGCTGCTTGACAAAGTGCCACTACCAATCCAGTAGAGAAATGTAGCTTGCTGAAGGATTGATACAGCTTGTTGGGACTGGCTGCTGTGGGAAGCCTAGATGGGCTTTTGTGGGGCCCTGCTGCCATCCATGTGCCAGGCATGCTGCTTTATGGTGATACCTAAGCAGAGCTTCTATTCTGGCTCTATTGTCCAACATTCTGTGTTGGTTTCCACTGCATCACATGCCTGTTAATATTCCAGTCTACTGTCACCTGCCTTTTGTAAGCATCTGGCTCCTTAACCAGATAAACATGAAGGCTGGGGGCCTGGCTGGTCCCTTTTCTTAGCCACAGTTCCTTGCATATAGTAATTGCATAATCAAATTTACGGACGATGTACATTGTTCTAGTAATTTTCTTCCTAGTCTGTCTTTGTTAACCACCCATTTAAGCTTCCACGGGAGATTGGCAGAGGCAGACAGTGGAGCTGAAATACTAACTTTCAAGGGTCCTAGTTACTGAGCTAACAGGAACTGCGATGTCACTATGAATGGTGTAGCACCCCTGAATGTTAAGAGACCCCTCTCAGTATAATTAAGACTTGCTTAGGCTTACATGACATAGAGATTTGTTTCCACAAAAAAAAAAAAAAAAAAAAAAAAAAAAAAGCAAAGCACGAGTCTTGGATACAGAAAAACAGGAATGAATTAAAATGTGTTTAAGTAAGGGTTGTATGTTTACTTTTCCTTTTTGGAGAAGAGGACTGCAAAGGAAATTACAGGGCCAATTCTATAAGAGTTCCCGAACACAGTCCTCCTGGTTCCCAGCTCAACATGTGAAGCTGAGTCACCCGCCCGGAAAGACGGGCTGCCTTGAGCTGTGTGGTCAGTGCTGGCTGGCAAAGTGGCTGACTGTGTCCCGTGATCCCTGGCCAGCCCCTGGCTCATTCCGACTCCAGAGAACAGGAAGTAGGTTCTGTGCCTTGGGAAGGAAAGGCCGGAGTTACTGTGGAGTCACCTGACTGAGCCTGGGAAAAAGTGGGATCAGAGAAGCTTGTGGGGTGATGGGTGAGTCAGCCCAGAGACACGTGGGCCTGAATTCTGCTCTAAGGAGGTTGCAGTAGCGCACCCTCAAGAGAGAGCGGCTGCCCTGTGGGCGTGTCATTGCCAAGTGCCTCAAAGAATGGTCACCAGGGGGACAGACCAGGGGCTGTCTTAAGCACACGCTTGTCCGAGTCCCCTGAGGATCCTTCTGGAAACCAAGCTTCCTCTCCTGAACTGCTGCCTTGCTGACTCAGCTTTTCCCAGACCACCTCTCCTGCTCCCCCACCCCAGGGGCAACCCTAACCCAACTCACCAGACTCTTATTCTGCGCAGTTAAGAAGCAAAACTACCAGCTGCCCTAAATGAATCTGGATTAGGTGAATCACAGAATCCTCAGCAGGAGGCACGGAGAGACCACCAGGCCTCTCACTTGGCAGGAAAACAGGTCCCAGTGCATGGGTGTGCTTCGGGAACCCGCATCCGAGCATCTCCCTGGACTGCCTCCCATCCCATTTGTTCCCTCTGTACAAGGGTCAGCACTTGGCACCTTTAATTCTCCAGCATCATGGGGAACTCAGAGTGCTCCTTTGAGATGCTAAGCAGTTAATGAAATTGTTAATACGAAATCAAGCATAAAATTCAAAGCCGGGGGGGAATCAAATCTTTTTTAAAATGCATGCACATGAAAAGGAAGTAGAAGTCCAACATACGGTACAACATGGATGACCTTGGGGACAGTGTGCTCTGTAAAGCAAAGCAGACACAAAAGGACGCGTGACTGGCTCGCAGGAAGTCCCTGGAACGGACAGTTTCACAGAGATAGAAAACAGAAGAGCAGCGCCAGCAGCCAGGGAAGGGAGGCGTGGGGTGTTTAAGGGGCTGGTTTCAGTTTGGGGTGATGAGAAAACTGGAACTGGACAGTGACAGTCACACAACACAGTGAGTGTTCTACCCACAGAAACAGTGTGTGTTATGCTGTACGTACATAGAATGCGGCACGTTAGGGGGAAGAACTCATGGCCAGTGAAGAGACTGGAATGTACTTCATGGGACCTGCTTGGTTCCAGGAGTAGACAGGAAAGAGTAGAAGGCGACAGGCACCTGGTTACCAAGTGACTGTCCTTCCGCTGCTTTCAATCTTTATTGTTTGTGGAGCCATATTTCAGGTGGCTTCAGGCGTCAGCAGGACGATACAGCGTGCACTGCACTATTGCACTGTCTTCTCCTGACATTGGGGACAATGTCAAGGGTCTGTGTAGGGACAGTGCAAGGCACAAACAGAGTACCAGTGAGGAAGCCTCTGACTTCCGAAGCGCGGGAAACCATGGTGTCTGCACACAGCAGTGAGATGATGCTTTCTGCAGCAACTGACCCACAGGTTGGGGCACTACACTGAGAGCCCTCTCTTGCAGAAAAGAGACTGAATGAGATCAGTTTTTCTACCACATCCCCCAAATACATAAATCAGAGTGACCATCAGTGAGAGTCACGGGGCCACTACCACCTACGTACGGCTCTGTCTTGCCCCACTCTGGACCAATCTCTCCTAACAGCCCGCAGCATCCTCACTCTGGGGGTGCACGCAGCAGCAGGGGAGCAACAGCCACGTGTACACCAGAGCCACCCTGTGTATCACCCAGCCTGAGGTCTGCTCTCCAGCACCGGGTCCAGCAGGCTGAACCTCCTGTCTCATGGACCAGACGGCAGTGTCCTGGGGCTCAGAACCTGTGGCAAGAGGCGGGGCTGCCTGACTACAGAGGCCCTTGGAGGTGAAAGAGTGCCCGGAAGGGCCCTCTGCAGGGCAGGTTATCTGTCTCAGCTGCCCAGGCACACCCTGTGGAGTGTGTGATGTCAAGGAGCATGCAACTCCCTTAGAAGCCTCTGCCTTTGACTTGGACCAGAGAAAGTTCTGGTTAGACACTGGCTCTCAGCCCTGGCTGCATGCTGGGCCCATCAGGGCTGGCTGAGCTGGTCCAGAGGCAGCCTAGGAGCTCCTGTGGGGAACGCAGGAGGAGCACCCTGGCAGAGATGTGGGGTAGTGAGAGGTCTGCATGGAGGAAGGAAGCAGTAGGATCTGCAGGTCAGGAGCTGAGCTCTGTAGGCAGAGATGGGACAGGGTTCCTGGTGGCCCTGTTCCAATAGTGACACTGCAGAGCAGTGTTGACAAATGTCTTGCACCAACTCCAGTGTGTAGCATTTGTCAATTTATACAGTGGAAATGCTCCCACCCTAACCAATTTCAAGCTGCCAACCCATGACATCAAACAGCTTGTACAACTGAAAATGTCACACTATTGACCCTCTGGAGCAGGTATAAGCCGACCCCAGGCTAGTCCCTGCATCTGGGATGTGCTACCAAACCTCAGTTTTTCTCTCCTATGAAATGAGGTCACAATTGCACCTTTTTCATAGGCGATTTAATAGGGTCTGCATGAAAAGCAGTTGGAACACAGTCACCTTGGGTCAGAGCCCAGGGAAGGAAGACAAAGGTGAAAGGCCCAGCAGAGAGGTTCCACAGTCGACAGCCTCAGCCTGGACAAAGATGCAGCAGGGTCCATCGGGAGATGAACCCTGCGCCACATCTGGAACCGTACCCTCAAAGCTGGCTGACCAAGGACTGGCCCCTCCTTTGGTAGCTGTGAGCATGGGATCTCTGCAGCTTGGCCAGGCTAACTCTAGAGGGCAGTGTGAGGCACTTGCACCTTAGGGAGGAGGATGGAGAATGGGAAGCCATGGAGCTGTTCTGGCAGAAGTTCCCTGTACTCGGGGGTTTCCGACAGCCAGGGTTCCCCTCCAACGCACCTGCAATGAGATATTCCTTCTTCCCACCGACATCCAGCGAGACCCCGCACACTGCCGAGGAAGGGGCTGTGTAGATAAACTCTATGTCTTTCTCAGGTCCTTTGAACATCTGGAAAGACAAAGACAGTGTCCATAAAGAAGGGCTGCAGGGCCAGTGAATTCCACTCCACCAGGAACCTGGGTGGCCCAGACCGCACCAGGAACAGTAGAAAGGTCCAGAAAGGAGGCAGCAATGTACCATGGCCTCCTTAGAGGCCAGTGTTCTCCGAGGCCTCTGTCTGCTTGCAATAGTGGCTCTCGTCAAGTGGGCACAACACTTGCCTGGAGGGAACTTTTTCAGACACCCCTTTGAGGTCCTTCTGGAATCTCTGGGGAGCATTCGATGAATTCTCAGGAAGGAGGCCCACTGTGGCAGACCCTGGTCTTTCTAAAAGTCCAGTATTGGGTCATTCTTTGGTTTGTTTCCGAAGCTGAGGGTTGAAGCCAGGGCCGTATCCCCACTGAGCTACACCAGCCCTATTTCCAGGAAGTCGGATGGGCTGCTGGCTGCCCAGGGTGGACAAGAACAGAGAAGCATCTCAGAATCAGCATTAAAACTCCAAGGTCCAGAGGGTTTGACTTCTCAGTGTTTGATTTATTTACAGCCCTGGAACACACCGGCAGCCCAGGGGAAGAGGGGCATTTCCCAGCTCCCTGGTAGGGGCTTTTTTTGTGTGTATGCTGAGATCAAGCCCAAGGCCTCTTGCTTTACCTCCAAGCCACACTCCCAGTCTTGGACAGTTTTAGTAAACAAACCCAGATGGACTGGGATCATCCCTGACGTCATGACTAACCAGCTTCCAGGAGCTCCACTCCAGCCCACAGCAGGAAAGGTCACCACGATGTGGCAATTTAACATGTTGTGTTCAGTGACACTGCTGGCCCAAGGGCTACAGGCGCTGTTTAGTGTTTAACATCCACAATGAGGTTATAAGAGCAAATTTTTTTCCCCCTATTTCAGAAATAAAAAGCCTCAAGTACTGACAGACAGGTCGTCATCTTGAAGCGCTACATGTAAAGATGAAGCATTCCATTGGCCTTCTGATCAAATGTATTTTCTAGGTTGAGTCTGATAGCCGAAGCCTGTAATCCCAGGCTTCTAGGAACATGAGGCAGGAGGAATGCAAGTTCAAATCTAGCCTGGGCAGTTTAGCAACTCAGAGACTTTGCCTCCCATTTTAAAAAACAAAAAAGGGCTGGAATGTAGCTTAGTGTAAAGGCCCTGGGTAGGAATCCCAATACCACAAATTTTTTGTTTTCCCCTTAAGAATTTTGCAACAAAATTCAATACAGATGGCCATTCTACTGTGCCCCATAGCTGCTCCTGTACCTGTGGCTGGGGACGTTCTTCTCTCTCAAAGGCCAAGACAGTTACTCTCAGCATCCAGCCTTTTCCCTCTCCCCCACCCCTAGGTTTCTGCCCACATGCACGGACAATGTCCTGGCCTGCAGCCCTCTGACCTGGGACCCTGCGGCACCTGCCAAGTTATCTGCTAAAGACTCAGCCCCAGTACAGCGATCAGGAAGCTGTCCTTAACTACCCCTGGCCACAGGAGTCTTCCTTCTCCAAATGCTTCTTCCTCATGGAATCAAAAGCAGACGCGGCCAGCCTGGCCACACACATAGCGGGTCACTGAGTTTTTATTCCCTCTCAGAGGCCTGTGACCTCAGAGCTGCTGCAGACATGATGGCCCTTGGGGACCCAGCCAGAAGCTGCATCACCGATCTGCCATCCATCAAAATAGACACATTTCTGAGAGGACTGAAGTCACCAGGGATACACTATTTCCTCTCAGCTATCCAGGCACTTGTGGGTTAAAGAGGATGGGACCTGGTCATAGCCTGACAATCTTCCTTTTTTGCTGTGTAGCTTGCAGGATTGAGTTAAGGAGACTCAGGCTTTGGCCGAAGTCTGTCCAGCTCACAACGCCTCCGGGCAGCGTTACCTTTATCTGCTTGATCTCGTACTGGATCCTCTTGATGGGGTTGCCATAGATGTCGTTCCCAGAGTCTACCTCCTTCTCACTGACCGCCTTGGCCCTGATCACTGCAAAACACAAAGACGCAGAGAGAGGGGAGTTCCTGGGAGATCATCCGGGCTCTGCTAGCGAGGGGGCCTCTAGGGAAGAAGAGCCCACCTTTCACCCCTGCTGTGAAACCAGGGGCGAGATGATCCTGAATCTGTGAGCTGGGAGAGAAGGTATAAAGGCCCTTTCTCTATCGCTGCTTCTCCAGTGAGAATCCTTCTTGATTCCTGGGGCTCACAGTGCCTCCAATGAGCCCAGGCTGCTTCCCAGCAGCAGGCAAAGCCACTGATTTAACCCAGAAGCTGTTTGCTGACTGCATACTTCAAAGACTTGCTTTCATTCCCACAAAAGTGGGTGTGTTGGTGTACAGAACAGCAGATAAACCAACGGCCTGGCCTTCAGCCCTGCTTTTCAGGCAGGGGTGGGGACATTCCCGCTACCCTTATCCTTAGGATACTGGAGAACAGGCTTATTTTGAGCTGAGTGCAGGGAGTAACCTACCTTAAAGGGGTGTCAGCGCATTAGGTGTAGGGTCTATCCAGATGCCCCCTCCATGACCTGTCTAAAAGTTTTCCTGGAAAATGTCCTACGGAGGATTCTTTAGAGCAACACACCTTTAGGCGAGGCAGGCCAGAGCTGAGTGACAGTGTCATAGTTCATGGGGCACACATGGGTTACAAAGAATGCTACGATCAAGGCTGGCAAAACTAAGGGACAGGTACCAAGGAAGAAGGGTAGACAGAGCACAAGAGCGCTCTGGATCACAAGCAAAAATGAGGGGTGTAGGGGGCTGGAGATTTAGCTCAGCAGCATAAGCACCTGCCGCACAAGCAGGCAGTCGTTGAGTTCGATCCCCGGTACCGGTACCGATAAAAAGGAAAAAGGAAAAATGAGGAATGTGAGAAGCGGGTCCAGGAGGTTCCAGGTTCTGGGGCCGGAGGCTGCGGATGGGTCATGCCCTGAAAGCTTTCTCTAAGTAATTAAGCCCAGCCTCTGTTCCCTCCTTGGTAACCTGACAACGAGGATCAGCTGTTCATTATCACAGGGACAGGTCCACCTCCCTCCCTTTAAGGTCATGCACTGGTGGCATGGCCTGCTTTAATGGCTTTAAAAGCTTTGCCTTCCAAATGCAGTGTGCTAGTCACCCTGGGCAAACCACTGTGCACACGAGCAAGATAGAGTGATTCGGGAAGAGACAGTACCAGCTCAGGTCTCTCAGAAACTCTACTCCCATAGAAGCAGGGAGGTCTGGCACACTGGAGCCCCTTTGCACCCATCCTTCTGATCCCAGATACATGGTCTGGATCCCAGCCTCTCCCGAGTCCCACACAATAATGCATGGCTCCGCCCAGGCCTGGGCCCAGGCCCCATTGCTGCTTCTGTTAGAGCTGTCATGTTGGCTCAAGCTGCAGGTTCCTGTCTTCCAAGCCAGTCCAGGCCTTACCCTGAAAAGCCACATATGGGAAAAGCCACCTGGCAGGCCACCTGAGAACCAAGGCTCTGCCTTGGTGCCCGAGTCCCCACACCATCCTCTCACCCACACCCACCAGTTGCCTGTTTACAGTCATGTTGCTTCCGCCTCAGACATCTTCCTTGGCTACTGATTGCTTTTCCCTAAAATATGAGACTCTTTGCAACTCGGTGCCAGCCAAAAACCTCGGCTGCCCTTGCTGCTCGACAATCCCTAGCCCAGTTCTTTCTGTTCTCCCAATACCGATCACTGCCCTTCCCTGAACATGCCCAAGTGTTCTTGCAAATAGGCAAACTTCTTCTGCCCAAAAGCCACCTCTCCCCTGCTGCCTAGAGAACCTCTATTTTGTCCTGCAAGACACAGCAAAATAGCCTCTTCCGGTCTTTCTTTGGGAAAGCCCATACTCTGGTAGCACTCAGAATAATCTTCATTTCTCATCCATTCCGCTGCAAACACCTGTAGAAGTGTCTGCCCAGGGCTCCAGGAGGTCCTAACAGGGAGAAGCTACCTTCCAGGGATACAACAGCAGGGCTCAACTAATGTCTGAGCAGCCAAACAGGGCTGAGCCTGACAGCCCCAAGAGGTTTACCATTGGTCCCTCTTACTAAGCACCTAATTAAATTTCTTATTGCAATGCTGCACAAAAAACATGTTTATGCAAATCGGTAAGCAGGCCAGATGACCTTTGTCAGGAGTTTGCTCTTTATGTCACACAGTAATCCATGCAGGAGCAAGCAGTCAAGGCCAAATGGAGCCACCCACCTATTTTGGAAACCTTCTGGAACTGCTTTCCAGTGGTCCATACACTGCACAAGGCTTAGCCCATAAAGATGCACAATAACTGGCAATCAGAACTCACACTGAAGCAACCAAAAGGTCACATCACCACCCATGCACTCAGGGTCAAGCACTGTTTTCTTAGAAAAAGCTCCCATGTGAGTCTGAGTCCTTATATGAAAGAGATGTTTAGCCATTTCCCAGCTGTGTGATCTCAGACTACAAAGACAGAGGGCAGATTCTCCTATTCCTGCAGGTGAGAGATCTGCAAGGCTGTATCCTGCTGGCCAGGGGCAGAGGGACATGGTCCTGGTCACATGCCAAGTGGACTCCCGGGGCTAGGTTAGATGCAGCTTGCTAGCCAGCCTGTCTGCTTTGGGGTGCCTGCAAATCCCTCTTTCCTTTTTAAAATTGTCAGAGAAGAGACTGGTTGAGGGATGCATTCAGGGCAGACTTGTGAGGTTCACACTAGCAAGTTAATTACCAGAGCCTGCCAGATACCTACAGGGAAGTAGAGGAGGGACAGCGGGTACAGTCACTCAAGAATCTCCCTCCTCTAACTGGGCTGCTTTTAGCTGTCCATGGAGATCTGAATTCATCCTCTGGAGTCTCTGAATTCTGGGAGACACCTCAATCCCCTTTATGAAATAAAAGATTATGAAGGAAAGGAGGATCAAGAGAGGCAAACAAAACAACACAGAAAGAAACCAGGCATGGTGGCGCACACACTGTAATCCTAGCACTCAAGGAGGCTGATGCAGAGGAATGAATGCAAGTTCAAGCCCAGCCTGGGCAACTTAGCAAGATTCTGCCTCAAAATTTTAAAAACATTTAAAAAGGACTAGGGATGTAACTCACTGATTCAGCTCTCAGGACCACAAGGTGAGGGGGAGGCAAAGAGGAATCAGCTCTGAGAGACTCTCTCTGCAAACAGACACCCCCCCATCTCCCCCACTCCTCACCCCCCCCCCCTTCCCCGCCATGGAAGGAGGAGAGAGGCTGGGCTGGAGCATCGGAGCCTCACAGCCAGCCTCCGCAGGACAGCAGGCACCTATATGTGTCTCCCTGTCAGGCGCCAGGCTGGAGTCAGCCCATGTCCTGTCCACGCCCCTCCAGAGGGCTGCCCTGCTCCCTGCCCCCACTCCCGGAACAAGAGGCAGCATGGGAGGGGAAATCTCTGTGCAGACTCGTGTTCTAATTGCTCTGTGCCCCCAAACCACGGCCTTCCTCCAAATGGCTCAGAGTTTGCTTCTTTCTTCTTTCCCCTCTGCTGTTAACACAACATCTGGGTTTAAGATCGAGGGTGATACACTGGCTGATGAATTCCCTGCCAGACGCTGGCTACTGGAATGCACAGCCATCGACTAAATTCAAAGTACATGCAACCGCAGAGCCCCCGCCCCCGCCTGTGGGCTGAGGACACCGCATGATGCCACTCCCCCCTTGGAGAAGCCTGCAAAATCAATCCCCATTGTACCCAGCCAGCATGGGGATGGAAAGGGACAGGGTGGGCAGAAAGTCAGCCATGTTCAGGCTCTGACAGTAACGGCCTGGGAGGACTAACAGAGGCCGAGACCTTCCTGCTTTTGCACTGGAAGCGGACAGACATAAGTGGGTGGCTGGAAATCCTGGGTGCCACCAGGGGACACAGCACGTGAGACAGATTCCAGCCAGAGCCTGCTGAGACCCCAGCTCCTCCCATTCTCCTTCTTCAGGATATCCTCGGCCACCACCTACATGTGGCCCCGCTATGTCCAGACATACACTGACATCTTTGGGACTCTACTGTACCTGTGGAAGCCCCATGGAAGTTCCTGGGGAAAATTGAGTCTTGGTTGAGATATTAGGTGTCTGGTTCTCTTTGCATCTCACTATGCTGCCCCACTATGCCCTGCATGTAAACAAATTCCCATGCGACAGTCTCCCCTTGGGCCACTCTGGCAGCCCAGGAACACAGGGGAGTCCGGGGATGTAAGACCTGAGATCCACATACCCATGTCCTCACCTCAGTGGCCCCCATGCTGATCCTGCGGCCCTGACCCTAGCCCTTCAAAACTGAATGTCTGCAGAGTAAGGTACGGGGATTCCCCGGGACTCGGCAATGTTCTCAATACAAAGTCAAAATCCAGCACTGGAGCATCTGTATCTTGTGTGTGCAGTGAATGAGGTGGAGGATTTGCTCCCGGTCACCAGCAGGCATTGCCCCCAACCCGTCTGTCTGTCCTCTTCTGTAGGCTCCAGCTGCACTCTGGGAAGGGTACCCATGGGTTCCTGGGGAAAGCACCCCATCTGTTCATGGTCCCCCCACTCTGGGGTGGAATGGAGGCCTCTAGTGTCTCAGCGTATTTGCCAAAGGCCCTATTGGCCTGTCCCAAGGCCCACCTTGTGGGCCAAACTGCAAATGTCCTCCCAAGGTCAGTGGCCCATTTCCTTGTCCCTGGGTAGAATTCCATGCAGACCATTTTGAAGAACTGAAGATGCTCTCTCCCTGGTGAGGATGCTGTGGGCTTCAAGGAGGTGCTGGGTATCTACAGGTAGTACATTTGTCAGGGGGACTGTAAGGTTCCAGATACTTTGTCTATACTCTGCAGACAAGGGGTATCACGTGCCTTGCCATTCACACCCTCAAATCACACACAGGTAGCAAAGTCCCAGCACCACCTGTGGCAGCCATCTGGAATTAGGCTGTCATCTCAGCACCATGTCGCTGCTTGATCCAGCCAAAGCTGCCTGGCTTGACCTTTGAGTCTAGGTTAATCTGGCCAAAGTTTT